ATATATTATTGAAGAAATTGGAGTCATATGGTATCACAGGCATTCCGCTCAAATTACTGAGCTCCTTTCTAACGGGGAGGTCTCAGTTTGTTGAACTATCCGGTAAATTTGGCAACGTAACGAATCATAAATTCAAATCCTCTGAACTGGACTACAAAATTGGAACGCCCCAGGGATCCACCTTAGCTCCACTACTCTTCGCGATTTTTGTCAACGACCTGGATAGGAAGTTCAACGACCCGAGCATTTCTCTTTGCAAATATGCAGACGACACCTCCTTAGTGATATCGGATCCTAATTTGGACACCCTAGCTCAAAAGGCCTGTGATGCTATAACACGCATAAGAGAGTGGTGCGATTCTAACCAGCTAAAACTAAACGAAACTAAAACTGGCGTAGTAAGCTTCTGCAATAGCCGAAATAACCAAGCGGGACGTCCTAACATTATCATGAATGGGAAACTGTTGCGCATTACCAGTGGTGAACGCTTCCTTGGAGTAACTGTAAGTGACAATCTAAATTGGAGCTCTCACATCGATCAAATCTGCTCGAAACTAAAAAGTGCATGCTACGCAATTATATGTATGAGGCCCGTGGTAGGGCAGTCTGCTCTACTGAAGTACTACTATGCCCAGGTCCAAAGTCAACTACACTACGCCATTATTATATGGGGCAACTCCAATGCAACTGTCAGACTGCTGTTACTGCAAAAACGGATCGTACGTCATATGTGTAACTCTGGCATGCGTGACCACTGCAAACCTCTTTTTAAACGCTTGCAAATAATGACTGTGTACTCCCTATATATCTATAACTGTGTGCAATTCGTTTTCGACAACTCATATCAGTTTACAACGAACGAAGAGATCCGCAGCTGTGACAGGAAGACACGTTTCGGTTCGAAGCTCACCGTCCCTCGACATAAAACCACCCTGTTCGAGAACTCTCCAAAATACATGTGCATTAAACTTTTCAACAGCCTCCCTATTGATCTCCTGAAATGCAATCAGGCCTCCTTTATGTCTAAGGTTAAAACGTTCTTTCTTGATAATCCGTTCTATAGTATCAGCGAATACCTCTGCAAAACCTAATTATGTCTTTCTGTGTGTTATATGTAAATGCGTGTTACTGTTAGTCTGGTTGTAGTCAATTCTGTAGTTTGTTTGTATTTTTCAAGTGGCGTAAAATTTAAAATGACGTTTCCAATATTACCTGTACACTGTAATCAAAATGGAAAAAATAAATAAATAAATAAATAAATAAATAAATCACAATTCACAGGAGCTTTAACAATGTATCCTTGGATGGTACAAAGCAAGTAGCCACTCGAATGAAGGACAAAGGATGTGATGTATTTATCGATATAAAAATTTTAAAAAAATAATAGATATACCGAGAGAAATGACTAATTTTTTTTTAAAAGACGGCTGTCGGCTGTAATAATGTATTTCGAAAACTCCATTTTTCGAAACGTATTTAATGCTAGGTATTATTTCTTCGCGATTACTTGACTGCCTTGTACTCGGATAGATTTTGGGACGATGTGCTGAATCAGATTATGCATTGGAATGACGTAGTTGGCGGGCGTGTCTTGTGCTGTAACAATTTATATTCTGTAAAATCGCGTCCCGGTTTACGTGAATTCGTATACTCTGCCAGCACGGCGGCAAATGTTTCTGGCTACCGACGTCACGCTGTCTAGGCTCGCGCGCAGGTGTGTTTTCTATTGCTTCGCGTCGCGTCGGCCCTTGATTTCAAAGTGCTTACTACAGCGGACGTAAATATCAATATTTTACACCTACATTTTTTTATATCGTTTTTTAATAACAAAATCTCTCGATTTCAGTTAAAATAAAAAAATGTCGAAGCCTATTGGATAAAAGTAGTTGTAATAAACGTATAAACAAATACTTATGGAAAACCAGCTCCTGGGTATGGCTATAGCATGTGCAAATCCAAATTTTGAACCTGGTGTTAGTTTTGCTTTCATTTAAAGCGTATACTTATGTATGAAATTTCATTTCATTTAATTCCATAAATAAGAGTTGGCACTGCACATCATGCATAAAACCAAATTTGGAAACTGGCGCTACATTTGCTTTTATTCCATACCTTCATAAATAAGAAAGTTTGCAATTCGACTGATACATGGTCGAGATGCGAAGAGGGCACTGTGAATAATGATAGATTAGGCTCAACTTTTGGGAAGTGCGTTTTATATGGCTAAAGCTATGCGCATATTGAATTTCACGCAATTCGGTTCATAACTAACGGAGATGTCAAAAGGGCCTTCTTTATTTTTTGGCCTACATTGCCAATTCACGAACTCCGATCTAAAAATTTGATAAACAATCCACCTGCAAAATTCCATCGTAATCGGTCCATTCGTTTATATGAGATATCGTGCCAACGGACGGACAGACACCGCAATAGTATTTTACATTATTAGCCAGGTAAGTGGGTTTTTACAATTTACTGGCGATAGAAGAAGTTGACTGGCGAGCCGTCAGGCGAGCCTGTCATCTCCTTGAGCCAGTAAAAACTATTACCTGGCGTATAATGTACAATATTTTATTTGTTACTCATTTGTAAACAATAGTAATAGTATATTACGCACCGAGTGCGAAAGTAGGTTATTTTTCGAAGAATTTTAATCACCCGAGGCGCGCAGCGCCGAGGGTGATTATATTCTAAGAAAAATAACCTTTCGTCGAGGTTCGTATACGATTTTATTCACGATCATCTAATAATCATTCCATTATCAAAAATAAAATAATTCACTAAATTTATACGTTTTATATTCATCTTATGCGCCATCTGCAATATTATTGCCCCACATAAAATGTTGTCGGTAATACAGATTTGGAAATTTACCTAATTAATATTCATATTAATTTAACATGTATGTTGTTAAAAAATGGCCCATACTAAAGAATTTCAATGTACATCCCCTCAAATAAGGGAAATTGAGTGCAGTAAAAAATTGACTCCCCGAATGAATTTTTGAAGTGAATGAACAATGGTGGGCAGGAAAGGGTATAGGTAAAACTTTTTACTTGCTTATTTTAATGAGGTAAAGAAATCATCCACATTATGAACGACCAAATAATGTTGTGATCCACATTCAAACCTAATGCGGTAATGCCTAATTACCATGTCAGTTTTATTATTCTAAAATGTACCTACAGCGATCTTTTGTGATTACATATTTAGACTGGGTTACAATATTAGTATTATAATCTGTGCAGATGTCAATAACGAAAGATTTATTCTTCAGATCCAATCAGGTAGTCACTAAACACCTGTTCCAATACGATAGCCCTAAAAAATAGCACTATTTCTAAAATGTGACAAATTACATTTAATTACCGGACATTGTTTTTGGCATATGATCGCTACAATATTAGCAAGTGCCAGTGGAGTTCTTCAACTTAAAACAGTTCGGTGGCTGTAGATTGGCTGCACTAGCAGGAGGTTTCGTCGCCAATTCAGTGGCCCATTCGCTTTACGGGCACGCGAAAATAACAAAGTAGGTATGGCAGTATCCTCTTCGGGTAGTGCTACGACGTCTCCGATATGCAACATTATGATGCCATAAATTGCCATGCCTTGCTCTCCTCATGGGTCACAAGCGCAACCCAATGTTTCCATGTCTTATAGACAAGAATTGAACTTTTCCACCCAGAAACTTAAACAGTAATGGGCTCTCTAAAGTAACAATCAATTTCATTAAACTCAAGTTCGAGTTTTATATACTTACCGATCCTTTAATAATTAACGGTTTCTTTTTGCTTTTGTTTTTACTTAACCATTTAGCACCGCGCTCGTTTAGTTTTAGGTTACGTGAAACGAACCATCATTTCCCGTAATCTGGCTAAAGTTAATCACAACTCCTACTTGTGTTTACTTCGGTTCGCATTTACTTATTTCACTTTTTCGCGTTTGGTCGTTCATTTGCAATTTACAAAAAAAGCACAGAACTTAAAATAATCCATATTACTCATAATAAGAATAAGAATTGTTTTTAAAATGCGGTTTTGAACAATTTGCATCTAAATCAGCTGTCATCGGTGTCAGACAGTTACGATGAGAGCGCCATCCATTAGGATAGGTATTAGCAACTAAATCGAGGTAGGTAATGAATATTACTAACCTCGAATCGAACATTACTAACCTCGAGAATCTACTTCCCTCCCTCCTGGAAAAATAAGTGTTGTAAAACACAACTTCCTTATCCTTCAAAATGACAATTATGAGACTGATTACAATATGATCGTGAATAAACGTAAATAATTAGTTTCCTAAATTGATCTCGAACAAATGTCTAAAATATCATGTTATCCATGTAACAGAGACTTCGCATTAATTCTGGCCAATGAAATTACTAGATTACTAACTTGTAAAATTTTTACAGGTCAACTGTCAGTTTTACAAGTCAGTATCGTTTAAAGATGACGTTTACCCGTTTGCGTTTTGTCTTGTTAATCAACGTTTACAACTGAGTAACAAATAAAATTATAAACTCGTTAGGAAGTCGTTAATAAAGTATATATTCAATGAACGGAAATATGGTCAAACTTTGTTTTGCGAATCTTGTATTTTATTATTATTAATATTAATATCATTGTTTTTGCCCCATAACCTGCTAGCTCACTTTTAAGTCACATCCCCAGCAACTTGTACCATCTTCGACTGTGGATTCGAGAAACTTTTTATATTATTTCTATTTCGATATTAAAGTTGCCAGTTTGTGGGAAAAATGTTTTGCAAACATTTCAATGAAATCTACTCAACTAATTATAGGTGTTGCGCTTTTTTATGGAATTTATTAATGTTATGTGATAATTAATATTCAGACAACTAATTATTATCTTGTATTTGGTTACCTCGTCTTTAGAATGTTATTTCATGTTATCCGTTTCGTATTAATGGAAATCGTCGTGTGACGTTGCCATTATTTCAAACCACAAACCAGTATAAGCTGTCCAGGATGAACTTATCAGTCTCTTTGTCTGCAGTGTGTAAATCACCTGTATTCTCAACATTCATTATAGCAAGCGACAAAGTCTGTAGTAGGAAGTTCTTTTAAACTTTACCGAAACAATGTAAACATCAAAATTTCTTATCACCATTTCAGGAAAGTTTGTTTTCATTAAATTATCGCGCATTAATTTATGTCAGTAATTCAGTAATGATTAAAATACGACAACGTTCGCGTTTGTGTCAATTCAAACCTTAAAAAATGTTCTCAGTTACAGTGTTTTTGGTACAGCTTTTTCTAGCTACTGTGTTTTGCGCAAGTAAGTGCCTTTTCTATTGAATTTGGTAATGCATTTAATTAGATAAAATATGCGAGGAGTCTTATTGCGATCAACCAAAATGTTTAAGTAGTACATTAGGTAACGATTTTCAGCGATCAATTTATGGATCTAAATTATACAGCAGCTATATGTTGATTAAATAATATAATAATTTGTGGATTAAATTAATCGACTGTTGATTGACGACATACTAAAATTGGTTTTACCCTATTAATGCGCAAACATTTAGAATTGCGTACTGTCTCATTACGACCATATGTAGACCATTAATAAAGTTAATCCATCTTTCATCGTCAATCAATATGCTTCTTGTACTGCTGTTATCGCCAATAACCCATCACAAAGTGAAATGCGCCAAATGTTTGAACTGTAGGTATATTCTATAACTGTGTGCTAAAAAATGTAGGTACTATCATCGGCAAAAGTAATGATAATCGGAGACTTACTGCAACCATGCTGCAACCAAAGAATAATATTAGTTACTCTTTGCTGCAACTTAAGCTCCGGCGGCTAACGTACCTACCTTCTCAGATGTTTATTCAATCCATTGTTTATTAACTTTCACACTGTAAGTAATTTACATATCTGTTGCGACAAAAGTAGATTCCTTTTCACTTGGTCAATAACAAGAATGTTCTAATTATACTTACTTGCTTGAGTGGGTATTTAAAAACGCCATGAACCCAATAAATGAAGTAACTTTCTTTTTACTTTATATACAAAAAAATGACTAAAAAAACACTATAAGAAGCCTAACGCTTATGGAAGAAAGCGCGACAAATCTCACAAATCCCCTTGCACCCGCATTGGTTGTGACCACCGAACTCTCTTTGCGGTAAATAGGAGGAAAGCAAATTCTCATTCTTCTCAGTTCAAGAATCGACTCTATTGACAGTGTTCCCATTATATTCTCAGTTCAAACTCTGTCGCGCTTTATTTCCACGGGGTTAGGCTTCTTATAGTGTTTTTATTCAATGCTACCATGTACTTGCTAATATTTTTAATAAAAATGTGTCAAGTATGAGGAGCCCTTAACTCACGTGGTGTATTCCATGTTTAAATTAGGAGTAGCCATTGCCTACTTTCAGGCATATTTACAATTTTTTTCACTTCCACTTTGGCTGAAAATAATCCCATTTCTTTAAACATAGAACACCCTGTTTTTTATACATATTATGTCAGAATACATAATTTAAACCGTTCAAAAATACTAGCAACAATATATTCAAAATAAAAATATATATGTACAGGCGACGACATTTTTTTGAATACTGCGTTTACGGGGATCCTTTTCTATCGGTGTGTAATAAAAGATAGAACATTTAAAGAGAGTATTGATTTAATGAAAGAAATGGTCTTGCAAAATGAACCTTAAAAAAGTTTTTATTTCAATTGAAAGAAAAATGAGATTGAAGATACCAATGTGCATTAATGTATCTAAGTTGCCGAAATATAATGCGTAAAATCCGGTTTTACCAATTTTTGAATTGTACCTACTGTAGCGTTTAAGACGGTAACGAAGAAACTCAAAAATAAAGGCAAAATCGAGGGCAAAATAAAATAACTTTCATTAGTCATTACTTTTATCGATGATGCACATTAGGTACCATTGACATTACTTTGCATATCAACTATGCTCATCTTCTTGTTGCTTATCGTCATTTTCTATGTCCAAATGACGTGGTCAATTTGATGAGGTGGTGGTATCCATGTTGTGTAATAAGCTCATAATGGGGTAAAATGTGAATTGAAGACCATTTAATAGGAGCATGCGTTTTATGATATCCTTCCTCAGGGAGTTAACCCTCGAAGCCCAACATTTAAACGGATTTCTTCTCTAACACCAAGAAGCAGTTTTTTTTATTAGAGATATTGGGAAGCATTCGTATTACCTATATCCCGGTTGCCCTGACTGGGCTCTGAGAAGCTAGTTATGCGCGGTTTCGGAAATGATGATTAAGATTAATCCGAGGATTAATCAATGATTAAAAATATTAGAATTCCAGCCGCCTTTCATTATACGGCCAGATGTTTCCCATTCTAATATTTTTAATCAGTGATTGCCCTTAATCATCGCTTGTGAAACCATGCGTTATTAAATTGTTTTTTCTGTACCTGCTTTAAATATATTATCTAGATTGTTTATTTTCTATCAATACCTACTTTTAAATGTATTTCCGCGTATAAAAATGCTACAGTACTTGCCATTATAATGCGAATAAAAAGTGCTATTGTTTGCGTTTTGTCCGCTCGTCTGTCTGTTCGCCGGAGCCACTTCTTATATTTTGAACTACTTCGTAAAGTCTTGAAATTTGTTGCAATATGTAGGATACACCTTGAAGGTGTGCTAGACAGCCGTCAAATTTTGTTACTTTTAGGGAACTGTTTTGTACCAACCACGGACACCACGGTCTTCCTCCTCGATCTCTTATCCTGATTGGTAATAATTCCTTATTGTGGAGTGGAGTGCAGAAGTCAATAATTCAATGAAGCCGGTAGATAGCATGGTTATTCGCATTGATCCCCCATTGCATGTTTAACTTAATTTTCATCTTAGGTGGACACCGTACAATGTTTACCTTATCAATTAAATTGGATATTTGAATTGGCGTTCATAACGCCACGAACATTGCTTTGAATAGTTCCTGAGTGAGAATGAAACGCAAACACTCTAGGGCTGAAATTCCTGGTTCACACGGTTAAATTTGTTGATTGTGGAATAATCTTAAATTTAACAAAGATACTGTTTGCTTCATCTAGCGCATGATTGTTAATCCTGATTGAAATGCCATTTTTAAGAAACGCGAAGTTTATTTGTGTACCTGAAAATGAAAACAAGTACAAATTGTGCACAACCCTTGTGCAGGTAAAGCGCATTTTTTAAACACCCCTACGAAATTTCTTCCATAAATAAGAAAGTTGGCACTGCACATCCTACACAAAACCAAATTTCGAAAATGGCGCTATATTTGCATTTATTCCAAGTGGGTATGTATCAAATTTTATTTAAATGCTCAATGGTTATATTTCTTCCAAACGCCCCAATCGCCCTTTAGAGGTACTTTCCTTTAACAATTCACTCTTAGGATATAAGGAATTATAACCGATCACGACAAGGAATCGAGGATGAAGACTATGGTTAGTATAAATTAATTCCTTTCGTTGAGACCTTTCTTTAGAGTACCATGAAGGATAAAACTAGTCCCAATCCTCCCTCTTCCCCCTCCTCCCCGTACTTTGAAAGAAAGGCAGTAGTTTGTAGAAAACTGTTCCTTTCGTTGAAACTTTTAATTAAAATACAAAGAAAGATAAAATTAGTTTTTAACCCCCTCCCCCCCCTCCCCCGGGCCCCGTCGCTCTAGAAAAAGAGTCGCACGGGAAAGAGAGGCATTCGTATGCAAAATCTGAGACCAATTGGTTGTCATATGTAAAAGTTATGCACGTTTTACTTTCAAAAACAGCATCTCAGGAAATAATTCGTGGTGGAGCCCCCCTTTTAGACAGCGAAATTTGATGGCCGTCTGGCACACCTTCAAGGTATAGGCTACCTACCGCAAAAAATTCCAGGACTGTAGGACCATTTCCCTAGAAGTAGTTCAAAACGGTTGAAGTGGGTCCGGACGGACAAACGGACGGACAAAACGCAAACAATAACTTTTTTTTTAATTCTTAAAAAATGCGCAAAAATGCAGCATGACCCTACTTTACCACGTTACTAACTCAGGATTGTATCTTGCCTAACCCGCTTTTAAACAATAACCATTACTTCCCCATTTTTTAAAACACAATTCGCAATCTTATAAATTAATGATCACATCAGAGTGCTCTTGTGGTGTATTTCCAAAAATATCATCGAATCAGGAGAAATCAATGGGCAGAAACCTTTACTTCTTCAGGGAAGACATCTGACTCTTTCTCGGAAATTTTCGGATTCAAAGACACCGATTCTCGACCTTCTCACATACATGTTCGTACAGTTCGAATTCGCGTAGTAGAAATGCTCACATACATCCCAATAATTTTGTTTTATTACGGGAAAAGCTTTCGCCACAAATTTCTTAACAGGAAAATACGTAATCCAAAACCATCTGCCCAAAATTTAGAAAATTTAAAAAAATTTAAAAGAGGGCTCCCGTTTTTTCTAGAACAAGTAACCATTTCAGGGCCTACGTCACAGTTTATTGAAAAGTGGATTATGTACAACCATAGAGGAAATACAATAAGAGTTACAAACAAATAGGATAAACTGGCATTGCTAATTTTCGCTCGGGAGATGCTGTCATCTGCTTTTTAAAGGGGTGTGACTAACCGTAAAAATAGAAAATCGTACGTTTATTAGCGTGCCGATATGCGGTCCCCTCGTTCTGAGATGGCGCTAGTTAGTCGAGGAGCGCCTAGTTACGAAATGCGTTCTGGTAAATCTAGTTTAGAAAAACGTACGTAGTTCCTTTACTCCCACACTTTAGAGTTTCATTAAAATTTTTCTCTACGTTTTAAGACACAAATACAATTTCAACGAAATACAGTTCAACAAACGCCCAACGTATTTATTTGGTTTTTGCAATGGAGCAATTTACGACATTTACTGTAATGGTCAACACTCAACAGCAAGTGTACAATCTAATCTACTATGAAATATGACACTTTATATACAATGCGTAAAAGATAATTCGCTTAATTCGAATAAATATGACAAAACAAAAGGCGTAAAAATTAGGAAAGAAAGGTTTTAATTTTTATATCTAATTGAAATTATAAAGGCTCTCCGGTGTGAGTTGTTTCTTCAATTCTTCAACATGGAAGACAACTTGCATCTTATTCTTACCAGACCACATACTTATGCTTTACAATTTAACCAGTAACCAGCAAAGCACTGAAAGGTAGATCGGCAAAGATTGTACTTTTTTTGCGTTTTTTAGCGCTGGTGCTATTGTTTTGCGTGTTCTCCGTCGCGTGGGTTAGGAACCACTTTTGCCGTGTTGAACTACTTTTACGGGAATGGCCCTAAACTTTTACATGCGACAACCAATACAGTCTATTAGTGGTTACGTCATAATAGCCCGTGAAATTCGAATTGCAGGACTTGTCTGTTTTACTGTCGGAAATATTGACCCCTATCGCCCTATCCATTAAGGACCACTTTTAAATAGGTCCTCTTTACCGGCTTATATTAAATATTATATTATATTATGTTATCAAAAATCTCTAAACCTTCCCCATATAGTTTTATTCGTTGAACTTCAACGAATAAAACTATATGGGGAAGGTTTAGAGATTTTTGATAACATAATATATTTCAACCCCCATTTCGAGGAACGATGGATCCAACTCAAAAAAAAAAAAACAAAATATTATATTATATTATATTATATTAAATAAGCATATCGACCCTCTTATATCGAAACACTGATTATTTAACTTTAAAACAGAGCAATAATCGTTAAATATGCAATATGGAATGATCATGACCTTGTTCTTGTGTTTACATTTTCCCAATTGTCAAAACATACGCAACTTAACTTTTTTAAGTACACTATTCCCTATTCATTCTCTTTGCACTGATAAAAATGGGTTGCCATGACAGAAACCGTTTTCAAGTAATCAATTATCAAGGTACCATCTGAATCCGCCGTTATTTTTCTTAAAGTCAAAATAACTTAAAAACCATAAATGGCAGATATGACATGTAGGTTGTGGGTATCAAATGAACCGAAATTTCACGTAGAATCTCAAAATGCAATAAAAAATAGGGATAGCCATTTGAAATAACGAAGTTACTATCTACTTCCAGTGTTTCCGGAAGTGCGGCCATTTTGAAAATATTTTACATCAATTCGGCCTTCAGAGTAACTCATATCTACAAATTTTCAAAAACCTACCTATTTTACTTTCACAGTAACGTTTAACTAAAGCTCCCAAAAAACACCCTGTATAGTTTCGAATAGGCCCAATCATAGTGTAAGAATATCTTACACTATACAGGGTGTTACACGACCGTTCGAAAAAAAAAAATCGGGTTGTAGAGGGCATCAAAACAAGCACTTTTTCCAAATAAACCGAGGGTCCAACGTGGTTCGTTTGGGAGCCACCCCCCAAAGAGTGTTGAAATCTGCATTTCTTCTTTAATTTTTTTCTCAGCAACCATAAGAGTTACAAAGTCGGGTGGCATGTCTTTGAATAGGTTTTTGGGTATGCTCTTTCCGATTTTGCAATTTTTTTTTCAAAATTCCTACCCCTAAAGGGCGCACCCCTACACTAGGGTGCAAAAAAAAAATTCTGATTTCGACGAAATTTGGTATCTGGGGTTTTTTTAACATGAAAATCACGAATCTGAAATTAGTTTTTGAAAATTCGAAAAAAAAAGTTCCACTGCAATTCTTGGCGGGACAACGAAAATAGAGATAATTCCACGAAATTCAGCGCTTTAAGATACCTTGGTAGGTGTTTTAATCGATACATCGAATTTTTTAATCATTTAATGACCGAATTAATTCCAAATAACAAAATATCGACTCAAACCGTTAATCTTTTGTTTTTGCGACATTGTCAACCACCACATGCGAAATTATGGCTTACTAGTAGGCTTGGGACACTTCGCGACCCGAAGGACCAACATTCAAATGAGTATAACTTTTGTTTGAAAAGTTATTTTAAAAAAACTGTTCGACAGTTTTGTTCCTTAACTCGTTTAGTATGTACACAACAAATTTCGTGGAATTATCTCTATTTTCGTTGTCCCGCCAAGAATTGCAGTGGAACTTTTTTTTTCGAATTTTCAAAAACTAATTTCAGTTCGTGATTTTCATGTTAAAAAACCCCCAGATACCAAATTTCGTCGAAATCAGAATTTTTTTTTGCACCCTAGTTTAGGGGTGCGCCCTTTAGGGGTAGGAATTAAAATTGCAAAATCGGAAAGAGCATACCCAAAAACCTATTCAAAGACATGTCACCCGACTTTGTAACTCTTATGGTTGCTGAGAAAAAAATTTAAGAAGAAATGCAGATTTCAACACTCTTTGGGGGGTGGCTCCCAAACGAAACACGTTGGACCCTCGGTTTATTTGGAAAAAGTGCTTGTTTTGATGCCCTCTACAACCCGATTTTTTTTTTTTCGAACGGTCGTGTAACACCCTGTATAATGGATATAATGGATAATGAAATAAACTTACTCGATTTGCTCGATCACTGTTGCTGAGGAGTTGAGTGAGAAATATTTAGATGTGGCTTATTCAGGCATCGACAAATAGACAAATAGATACACTAGTTAAAAGGCACCGAGATGTGACAGTATCTCGACGATTTCGTAAAGAGTGTGTGGGCAGTGGGGTAAGACAATTTTACATTATAGTTGCGCCCGAGCATGGCCTACTAAGAGTACCGAGGTTGCGCCTCTTTACTCTTTCTCACTCAAAGGTACATTTAAATATCAATTTTCCTTTGTAGAAATACATGAAGACAAAGTTTCGGGTGTCATTTTACGATATTTATCAATATTCTCCTAGTCAGCTTTTGAACTCGTAGCATAAACCTAAAACAATTTAGCGCTAAGGATATCGGATTTTCTTATATACTGTACCTACTCGATGTACCTACCGAAAAGTTTAAGTAAATATTCATATAGGCACCATTTTAATGACGCGTATTATTCCACTTAGGAAGAAACTCGGAATGCGTCACACCTAACCAAGAAAGGGCAAGATGTACTCCAGTAAGTCGTTGTCAGATATTGCTGAATACCATTCGATCAGGTGACCCCGACTCACTTAAGTTTGTCCAACGATCGCAATGTGGTTATGAATCCGAAGCATTGGTGTGCTGCGGTACTTTGGGTATTGCGCGTGGTGTTCTGGTGAATAGTTCCAATAGTAATGATCACTATTAAATTTATTTGTCACAGTTTTCAATTATTTAGTAATTTTAGACAATTTGAATGTTGCTATTCCATTTAGGTCGAAATGCATCATGTTTAACACCCAACAAAGAAAATGCGAGGTGTATTCCCGTAAAGAGCTGTATTGTGATTATACACGCTATACAAACTGGTGAAAGTAACGCAATTAAATTTGCTCAACAATCCCAGTGCGGTTATGATTCGGAGCCATTGGTTTGCTGTGGTACTAAGGGCGTACCAGAAGTACAAAAAAAAGAACATCATATATTGGAAAATCGAGCACACTCAGTGATAGTTTAGTATATTATCTAATTATTTATTAAATATTATTAATTAAGCTTTTTTTTTTACTTTAACTTCTCGTTATCGCCATTTTCATTGAAAAACATTGTTTCTTGTAGGTCGAAATTCACCATGCACAACTCCCAATAGAGAGAATGGCAGATGCATTGCGGTTCGAAGTTGTCCCGTAATATTGACTGCCATTCAATCTGGTACTGAAGGAGTTACCTTCGCACAGAAGTCGCAATGTGGATACGATTCGGAAGCTTTGGTGTGCTGTGGTTCAATGGGTCCCCAATCAGTAGACATATTTGATCATCGCCTATTGGCCGATCGAAGTAGCTGTGGTATAGAAAAGACCGGCAACAAAATATTTGGCGGTATCGCTACCGATATTGACGAATTTCCCTGGTTAGCCTTATTACGATATGCGGACACCACATCCGGAAGCGATCAAGGTTTTAAATGTGGAGGATCATTAATTAACAATCGTTACGTATTAACTGCGGCACATTGCATTTCTGTTGCCTCAAATCAAGAAATAAGATTGTAATTTTCTTATGTATACGCTAAGGTTTCGATCCATACCTGTTGTATTTCAGGAGCGGTGTGCGATTAGGTGAATGGAGACAGTCAACGGAGATCGATTGTGTGGGTAAAAGGGGATTACAAAAGTGTACTGAGCCTGTTGTGGATGTTGGCATTCAAAGAAGTATACCGCATCCAGGACACAGTATCAGAACACGAGACAACGATATCGGCTTACTTCGACTTCAACGTAATGTTGACTTCAGCGGTAAGGAAGATCATTGCACGTAGCCTGTTTTTTTTAAGTAAGGGTCGTTCGAAAATAAAAACAAAACGGAAGAAAATTTTCAAAAACCAAATTTATTTTTAAGTTCTACATACTTTCCGAGATATTTTCCTCCCTTTTTCGACTAAGGGGCCAACTTTGTTTCAACACTTATCATACCTTACAGGCTGTACCTAAGGCTAACGGAGCAGGCGGCAACTTTCTTTGAAGAAGATATTCAATACCTAGTTGTAACTTACAGCACAACCAAACCCTGCTATTTTAATCTTTTCCGCTTTCTCAAACATCATATCGCAGGTAAGCACTATAACAATTGCGAAGAGGTGAAAACGACCGTGACCACTTGGTCAACGGAGCAGGCAGCAAGTTTGGACGAGCACGAAGAGGGTTTTCAAAACCTAATTTTGAGGTATGATAAATGATGCAACAAACTTGGCAGCTATGTTGAAAATTAGATAATAGTATGTAGAAAATCGTTTTGTTTTTATTTTAAAACGGCATTTAGTTAAAAAACACTTCTCGTATATTCCTGTCTGAAAATTTATTGTTTAGATTTTATTCAACCCGTTTGTCTACCTCCACCAAATGGTGTACTTCCTAACATTGGAAGTAGTATGATGGTGGCAGGATGGGGTAGGACGGAAACCAGTAAGTAATGACAGTATGGCGAGACCACTAATTATTACACAAATGTATAGGTGATGCTTCTGATGTAAAATTAAAGGCTTTAGTTCCCTTGGTAGCTTCATCAGCCTGCAAGAAAAGGTTTGGAAGGCGTGGATATATTTCAGATAACCAGTTTTGTGCTGGAGGAGTAGGAGGAAATGATTCTTGTCAAGGAGACTCTGGAGGTCCGTTAATGCGTTATGTGGTGCCTAATGCCGACGTGCAATGGATTCAAGAGGGTATAATATCATGGGGAGTTATGTGTGGACTAGAAACGTACCCTGGAGTTTATACGCGGGTATCTAAATATTCAAATTGGATTGTTGACAATATGTTTTAATTTTAATTATTAAATTTTATTTAACGGAGTGTTTTTATACAATTTATAGCATAATTTGAGTTAGCGGTTATACTTGGTGTGAAATGCCAATAGGTATTTTATCAATAAAATAATAAATATTTATGTAACACGACCGCATTAATTAATTGATAAATGAAAGCTATACAATGAGTACCTACGTTTAGATGACGCAACTGTTGAGTATGTTGAGACGTTGAGTTACCTGAACGACAAAGGAAACTAACATAAAAACAGAATAGAAAGTAAATTAATAGTATATTATTATACGAGCATATAAAGTGTGCGATTATGACACGAGGTGAAGTTTGCAACACGAGCCGAAGGCGAGTGTTGTAATTTTTCCGAGTGTCATAATCGCCTTTATATGCAAGTAAAATACGCTATTTTATCTACGACTATTTAATTAAATAGAAAATGCGGCATCTGAATCAGTTTGAAACGTAGCAACTTCATAGCGGTAGCGCAATGTACGCCTATGGTTTGGTTTGCGTTCGTTCATTCGTTAACGGTATAACCTCAAATCTAATTCAATGTATCGCAATGTACCTAAGTGGCGAACTAAATATGCAATTTATCTTAAGTTCCCAGAAGTCATTAATTCAACACATAATTACCTACACGTAAGATTATTGCTAATATAAATGGTTGTCATTCATTTTTCATTGTTTTAGATTGTGACATAACCTATGGAAGTAAGGTGGATATTTATGTGATGTAACTATGTACAATTATTCTCTAAATCCGATCCCGATGTATCAATTATGCCTGCAGAAATTGTTACACAGCTGCCAAATGGAATACAATATTTTGTTTCGCATACATAATCTAATTTTTCAAAGACTTCGTTACGCTTCTCCGACCTGCATCCAAGAAGTTTCTTCCTCTTTTAGAAACGAAGTTTAAGCAATGAAAGCATAGTTTTATTGCAAATTTAAGGGCAAGAGGTGTTTTTTATTAGTTAACGTACATATTGTAGCCATCTATTTAAGTAATTTGGTCAATGCCTAGTATGTAAGACCTGTTACGAATTATCAATTCTTAAAATAAATCATGCAAAACGGTGGTTAAGTGCTACGACAATTTGTATCCTTTATTGTCAACGAGTTTACAATATGTTATTGTTTTGTATCGTGGCACAATTTCGACAACAATACCACATATGTTGTACGAAACATATTTCTCTTCGTAAAAGGCTGAAACTTATAGGTTATACCTAGCATAATCTTCAAATGGGGCTTCCGATAATCCATTATGCTACAAATAATGCCTTGTGAATATGAAGGTATAGATACTTTAAATACAAACGAAAACCTTATTCATGCTCATGCAGAATATTTGTATCAGCGAAGGTATCTGTCGTTAAGTAACGTTGCCTGAACTTGCCAATGACTTCAGGTATTTTACAAGTTTATTTCATCCCATTTTATAAATATCGCACATATCTCGTCATAGGGGTGGATCAAGTTCCTGTATTATATTGTTTTTCAAATAAACCTACAAAGTTAAGCGTACGTAACCCGAAATCTCTCATTTCTAACCTAAGAAATGCTTAATTCAAAACAAAACTGACAGGTAGTACATACGAGATGGGCGGTTCTATTTTTAGTACATATGCAATTATGAGAAATATATAGTGACATAAAGTAGTTGTATATAAGGATTTTAGAGGAACCGATAATAATGCATATCATAATTCGCTAAAATATAGTGACGTTATTTGAGCGTTATTTAATAGTCGTAGATAATAGTATATTATTATACGAGCATATAAAGTGTGCGATTATGACACGAGGTGAAGTTTGCAACACGAGCCGAAGGCGAGTGTTGTAATTTTCCGAGTGTCATAATCGCCTTTATATGCAAGTAAAATACGCTATTTTATCTACGACTATTTAATTAAATAGAAAATGCGGCATCTGAATCAGTTTGAAACGTAGCAACTTCATAGCGGTAGCGCAATGTACGCCTATGGTTTGGTTTGCGTTCGTTCATTCGTTGACGGTATTTAACCTCAAATCTAATTCAATGTATCGCAATGTACCTAAGTGGCGAACTAAATATGCAATTTATCTAAAGTTCCCAGAAGTCATTAATTCAACACGTAATTACCTACACGTAAGATTATTGCTAATATAAATGGTTGTCATTCATTTTTCATTGTTTTAGATTGTGACATAACCTATGGAAGTAAGGTGGATATTTATGTGATGTAACTATGTACAACTATTCTCTAAATCCGATCCCGATGTATCAATTATGCCTGCAGAAATTGTTACACAGCTGCCAAATGGAATACAATATTTTGTTTCGCATACATAATCTAATTTTTCAAAGCGTTACGCTTCTCCGACCTGCATCCAAGAAGTTTCTTCCTCTTTTAGAAACGAAGTTTAAGCAATGAAAGCATAGTTTTATTGCAAATTTAAGGGCAAGAGGTGTTTTTTATTAGTTAACGTACATATTGTAGCCATCTATTTAAGTAATTTGGTCAATGCCTAGTATGTAAGACCTGTTACGAATTATCAATTCTTAAAATACATCATGCAAAACTGTGGTTAAGTGCTACGACAATTTGTATCCTTTATTGTCAACGAGTTTACAATATGTTATTGTTTTGTATCGTGGCACAATTTCGACAACAATACCACATATGTTGTACGAAACATATTTCTCTTCGTAAAAGGCTGAAACTTATAGGTTATACCTAGCATAATCTTCAAATGGGGCTTCCGATAATCCATTATGCTACAAATAATGCCTTGTGAATATGAAGGTATAGATACTTTAAATACAAACGAAAACCTTATTCATGCTCATGCAGAATATTTGTATCAGCGAAGGTATCTGTCGTTAAGAAACATTGCCTGAACTTGCCAATGACTTCAGGTATTTTACAAGTTTATTTCATCCCATTTTATAAATATCGCACATATCTCGTCATAGGGGTGGATCAAGTTCCTGTATTAATTGTTTTTCAAATAAACCTACAAAGTTAAGCGTACGTAACCCGAAATCTCTCATTTCTAACCTAAGAAATGCTTAATTCAAAACAAAACTGACAGGTAGTACATACGAGATGGGCGGTTCTATTTTTAGTACATATGCAATTATGAACTTATACATATGCAATTATGAACTTATACATATGCAATTATGAGAAATATATAGTGACATAAAGTAGTTGTATATAAGGATTTTAGAGGAACCGATAATAATGCATATCATAATTCGCTAAAATATAGTGACGTTATTTGAGCGTTATTTAATAGTCGTAGATAAAAGAAATTAATTTGATGGGCAGGAAAACCTGAAAAGTGCTCATTATTGAGAATTACGCCGAAATTTTACCAAAAATACCAAAAAAACTACAAAAGTTTTTAAATATTTTAATAACTGCGAACAGGAAAAACTTTAAAAAAAGTTCACTTTTAACTAAATCGTGGGCGCGTGGTGGGTTTCAAAATTAATGTTTTATAACTTAATTCTTGAAACTATTTTTAAGATTTATTAACAACTTTAGAAATTGGCGGGAAGAGAGAGGGGCTCGAGAACCTTAATGCCAATTATAATTGAGGTGATAACTTCAGATGTGCAGAAAAAGTTAGATCTGGTTAGAGAATTGTTACAAAAATAATCACAGTCGTCAATCATGTTAGCATAGGTTGCCTAGCAATAATATTATTATAGTCGTGGACCGTGGTGTTCCACTATAGTAGTGTTTCTGGCAATTTCAAACAATTATTATCAATTTAGAGTACAGAGAAAACCAAGAAATCGAACGCCTGCATAAGGTCGTAACTTGCAGTGTAATTATACCCACATAAGGATAATGACATGATACAATTATCCATTGTTCTAATAGTATTATTAAAACATAAGTTGCAGAAGGCGGCCTATTCTAGCACGAATTCAAGTTTCGAACCTGAGCCACGTAGCGACGAAGGTTCGAATGAACGAGTGATAGAAGGCCTTCTGTGACGAACGTTTTATACTATTTTCTATGTTGAGCCCTTAATTATTATTTATAAAAAAGTATGTATTTAGTTTAAAATAGAAATATTGCCGCGTCAAAATAAAGTTGGCAGCACTGCGTACATCTTTCAAATGTTTAAATTAGTCTCCCTAAATTTTAACATTTTTCGTTATTGCGCCTGAAAATAGATACACGAAGGTAAAATTTGCAATGTCTGATACAACCTTTTCATCGACTCCGCCAGAACTACACTTAATAGCCGAAGAAGCAGTCGATAATCTGTTACCGCCAAAATCAAAAGGAGAGTATGAAAAAGAATACCTAAAATTTAAAGATTGGTGTGGCGCACAAAATCTGACAGTGATAAGTGAAAATGTTTTGTTAGCATTCTCTACAATAATGAGCAAGAGCTACAAAAGTTCTACGTTGTGGAAGAATTACTCGATGCTCCGATCTATGTTGAAAATTCGAGAGAATATTGATATTTCTAAATTTATGAAACTGCAGGCATTATTAAGACGAACATCAGTTGGATATGAGGCAAAGAAGTCTAAAATATTAGAATATCCTGAAATAGAAAGATTCATTAATGAAGCACCCAACACAAAGTATTTGGCAGCGAAGGTAATTTTATTAATTTTCAATCAACGATTACACACTGATACATTTATAGGTAATTCTAATAATTGGTTATTTCGGAGCATGCAGGCGGGAGGAACTAAAAAATTTGCTTACGGATGATATAGACTACAAGTCCGATTCAATTTTTGTGACGGTACCAAAAACCAAAACTAAACGTCCAAGGCTATTTGCAATTACAAATGCAATGTGGATAGGCTTAATCAAGGAGTATGCTTGCTTAAGACCTGTACATATAACTCACAAACGGTTTTTCATATTTTATCGACAAGGGCGTTGCACGGTGCAACCAATTGGTTTGAACAAAGTAGGCGAGATGCCCCGAATTATTGCAAGATATCTCAAGTTGCAGAACTGTGATGAATATTCAGGGCATTGCTTTCGCCGATCAGCAGCATCACACTTGGCGAACAATGGTGCAGATATAATGACACTGAAGCAACATGGTGGGTGGAAAAGTTCATCAACAGCAGAGGGTTACGTTGATCAATCTAAAAAAAAAGAATTGAAGTCGCAGAGTTACTTTCGGTTTCGACTACTAAATCCGAACAACCTCAAGCTGGACCCTCCACGAAACAATGTACGTACTGTTACTAGCGGAGAACAATCCACCCTCGAATCCACCACTGTTAACTCGTTACAGAATGTCCCCGGAATTACTATAAATGCAGGTGAACATTCCACGGTGACTGTTAAAATTTATAACAATTGTTCTTTTAAGAACGAAAGTTAGGTTGAGGTTAGGTAATTTAATTTTAGCACATTTTTAAGAAATCGTTTATGCAAAATTGTTTAATGACTTTATTGGTGTAATTTAATAATAAATCGTAGTGCGTGTGCATTTTTCATTTAATATGAGCTTTGATTAATAGTTTATTATCCGGGGGGTAACACCGATTTCAACCAAATTTCACAGGGGCCAAGGGGAGATGCCCACGGTACTAAAAAAACCATACCAAACCCACCGCAATTGTTTATAACAAATAATAGTTAATAACATATTTTATACAATGTTCCGTTACAAAAATTAAGGTGGCGCTGTGTGTAAATAAATCGAAAATCTGATAATTCATGTGCGCAGGTGCAATTCCTACCCAGCGGCCACCGCGTTCCAGACGCCATTGTTGTTTGTACCTGCTGAAGAAAACAGGCGCTTTACCTTCGTTTCGTTTATCGTTAGTATTCTGCTTTTTTTAAAGCAATCATGGCGTGTCAGAGCTGCTATAATACACTTCTTTCTTTTTCAGATTTATGTCACCGCGAACGGGACCTTATTTCTTTTTTGCCGGATCATTTGGTGCTTCCCGGACTCGTCGCCTGCCCCAGGTGTAAGACGGATTGCTACCTTGCACTAGAAGACAGCCGACTTCGTTTTAGATGCGATCGTAAGGTGAAAGTAGCGAAAACTAGGAAGACGAAAAAGTGCTCGTTCTCTGTTACAGCTGAGGATCCCATCTGGATGTCCCGATCGTGTGTGATACGCTACCCCCCGGATACGAAACCGTTACCAAAGCCATATGTAAATCACAAATAACCGTTATTCATATACGTAAACTTTCTAAATAATAAGCGTCGTAACATGCGTGTTTAGATTCGAATTAACAAAACCCTTGCGCACTGTAAATCGACAGTATCCGTGACTTTTCCTGAATCTACGGATTGCAGTCGAGTACGGGACAATCATCTTGACGCGAAACCAATTGTCTTCTTTTCTGCTCGACTAACCGGTAAGGGTAACTTCATACGCATACAAAACATAAGCATTTCCAATGCTAAAAGTAATCGTAAACGATTTACAAAAAGCGCATTATAAGAAAGTTAGCGTTGCATATGTGCAATCCATTTTTGACCTGCTACAAATTTTAGTTTATAAGAAGAATCTTACTCTAAAATTTATTTGATTCGGCATTAGTTTATTTTTATTCCAGTTGCCTACATACAACATTTCATTTAAATATCTTCATAAATGCAAAAAATCGGATTGCGCATGTGCAAAACATTCAACCTTAGTTAAACGTTTATTTGAGGTGAAAATTTCATTTAAATATCTTAACAAAAAAGAAAATTGCCGGGCAGACAGCATTACAACATTATAAGCGATCCCAAGCATCGTCAATAAATGGCAAACGTGTAAAATTATGGTACATGAAAAACACAGATTTTTTTCTTAAGCGGACAGCGGAAGCGGTGCAAACCTCGACACCATAACGAACCAAATAGCGAAAAAAGTAGAACAATAGCTCTTAAGATAAAGAACTCCTAGTGACCAGACGGACGGACGGACGGACAGACAGACAGAAGGACGGACAGGCGCACGGACAAAGTGGCCACAATATAGCGCATTTTTTAAAAATTTTTGTGGAAATGCGCTAAAGTTACTGATATAGTTCGTACCATGAATGAATAACGGATTAACGCTTATATTATGTAGGTTTTTTTGTTAACCGATCTCGCGGTGAACTAAGAGATTAACTTGCTGGTTTCTTCAGACTTGCGCTCTAACAGTCGGCTTAAAGCTGTGTGTCACAAAGAGTTATAAGTGGTTAAATGCTCTCCCTGATTTATTAGTTTCACATGAATTAAGTTGTAACACTCAGAACAACTGGACGCAGCTCTCGACACGAATCCTTAAACCAAAGAGCCAATCGAAGGTTGGCATCTTTATAAATTCACCGCTTGTTCTTGAACCATGTGGAACATTGAGAGATGATAAGAGGCCATATGGTGTTACTTCGATCCCTTACCCCTTACGGACCTACGTTACCGCTTATTTCTTATTTCGTACCTCATACCGTTACGGAACTCTGAATCGGCCTTAACGCGCATTATAAATGTTCACGCGCAACAAGTAGGGTTTCATTCCAATCGTTACGGTACGGCGTTGCGGGTACGGAACTATAAATTCAGCTTTAAACTTGCAAAGGCGATTCGCAGCAACCAAAGGCGCCGACTTTTGATAATTCCAGGGGGGGGGGGCACAACCGTTTCTACCGTTCTACTAAAAACATTCAAAGAAGCATCGACATTTTGTCCACAAATAAACTTTATTTCATAATACCATTGAATAAATGATAATACCTATTGATAATAGATACTCTTAAGTTAGTGATATGATAATAATACAAGAATACTTGGTAGAATACATTATACAACCAACCACCACTTACTGTTGGTTGTGTCCATGTGTCTTCAGTCTTGTCACTTGTGTGATCGCCACGGGCGCACGTAGCAACGTAGCAAATTGGAGAGCGTAAATTTACTTACTCTCCTAGTTATGTTATATCATATACAGTGAATTTTTTTTAAATGCGAACATAGGAGTTTGTATGCAATGTAATTTCCCCATGTTCGATTTAAAAAAAAACACATCAATCTATTGAGTAGTTCAAATGAGTAGTAGATACAATTGACAGCTGTCACATTTTTAAAAATACCGCCGTCCAATTTAATTACGAAATCGGTTAGGTTATTGCTTAGAATGTCAAGGAGGACACTTCCACATTTATTGTAATTGTTTTCGTTATTTATTTTCTTATTTTCTTCATTTATGTATTGAACAAATCAAATTAGTAGAATACCAGGTGCACATGACCTACCAATAATTTTGGTTGGTTCACAATGAATTGTAATGTCAGCGCGTGCCATGTGAAGTCAGGTTATCGTAAGTTTAAGAAAAATTTGTCCTAAAGTTGCTATGGCCTCACATGGCTTATTTAAAAAAATCTTACCGAGTGCTCTTTATCATAAAGACTATGAGTTGCTGTTCATAGTCACACAAGAGTGCGCGTTTTGGGAATGTGAACCGCGCACACCTCATAGATTGATGTGTTTTTTTAAAAATCGAACATAGGGAAAATACATTGCATGCGAACTCCTATGTTCGCATTTAAAAAAAATTCACTGTATATGTGATTATAACATCCTTCACTCAACGGTTATAGGTTCTAATGGTAACGCAAGTGCCTTCAAATTAATATTGTCCAAAAAGTTGATGATGGTATGCACAGTGAAATACTTCTAAGAATTCTTTATACCTATGTGTCACCTAAATCGTTAGAACAGTTTAATGCGGAAAAGTTATATTTACACTGATACACGAATTTATTATGATTAAACAGCGTAGAGCCGCATTTTGTTTAAATAAATACACAAGAGAAATATTGGATATAGTATAAAATAACATACTAGGTACCTACCTTCTTTGTATTCATTCTTAGAAAAACAAGTAGTTAATGGGGTGCTGTAACAAATGTGTTACCGCATTCCCACGTATGTTTAAAGTAAGGGTGTGTTTGTAAAGTAGTACCATTTAATTGTCGGCATTGGCACTGAGCGTAGCTTAATTAGTAAAATTATTATTCCAAAAAATCATCTATTTTTCCTTATTAGCACCTCTACTGTGGTTAAATTACGCCTAAGGGAAACGGCCTCCAAATTTTTTTGAAAATGGCACCTAAAATGAAGTTACGCCACTGCTTGGATATTAGCGTATATATAGCTTTTTATGAAAGTAACTTGTTTATGCAGCATTAAAAAAGGATGCAAGTTATTACAAAAACCCATTATATCTCATAAAAATTCATCAAATTCCAATCAAGCCAATTAGTTACTTAGAGGTACATAGCACCTATAGGTATTGCGAAACCTGCATACCTTTTGACATTGAAATAGGATGTGTGCAATTTCTACTAATTAGAGCAGTTTACATTTCGGAATTTTAAATTGTTTGTATTTAAAGCAAATGACGGTACAGTTTTGGGAGCAGACTTAAAACTGTTTGTGTACAAGGCAAAGTAAGTTGTTTATCCTTATCCCCACCATAACGGCGACAATTACTCTAAACATAATTTTTCATCAGTATGTGCTGTAAGACAGATAGTGATGTTGCTTCGAATAGGTTTTCTTGTAGCACTAATATCTCCTGCAATATTACCAGCTACAGGTAGGTACCGCAGAATCGTTTCAAAAATGGTTCATTATAATCATTTTATCAAATTAACAATTTTAACTAACTTTTGGATTGTTTTTTTTAAGAATTTACCAGGGTATGTTTCGCAGGTTTACGTAGAGGAGCGTCGTGTTTGACTCCAAATGGCGAAAGTGCAAAATGTGTTGCCGTGAACTCGTGCGAAGTTATTCTAAATGCACTTTTGTCCCGTAATGAAAGTGTTACAGCGTTTGCTCAAGAATCTCAGTGCGGCTATGACACGGAAGCGTTAGTGTGCTGTGGAACGGTTCCTTTTAAAAGCCGTAAGATTTTAACCCATTATTATAGATCAGGGCTATCCAACATAAGGCCCGCGACTTAGTTTTTTGCGGCCCGTAATAAGGCGGGCTACTAAAATGTATAAATTTCCCTCAAATATGAATTGTGTACATTACTGATCAAGTTGCGTACAAAGATGTTATAATGCTGCCCTCCAAGTTGTCTTTTTTTTAAACCGCCCTTGATTAAACCATGGACAAGATCCACACTTATTTGAACAATTCATTCAACTTTACACATTTTCCAGCAAGAGGTTCACAGTGTTACACTCCCAATCAGGAAAATGGACAATGTATACCCGTATCTGCCTGTCTCGTTATTGATAAAGCAGTTAAAGCCAAAGACAGAATCGCTGTTGACTTTGCAAGGGAGTCTCAATGTGGATACGATCTTGAGCCTTTGGTATGCTGCGGCACTATTGCTCGTCCTCTAAAAGAGCGACTCACATCGCACCGTTTGTTACCGTCCACACAACAGTGCGGTTTTGAGAAAGCCAAAAATCGAGTGTATGGCGGGCATCTCACGGATAAGGACGAATTGCCTTGGATGACGCTGTTGCGGTATAAAAATACTGATACCTCCGATGCCGGTTTTAAATGTGGCGGTACCCTTATCAGCAACCGATACGTGCTTACTGCAGCACATTGCGTTATCGTCAATATCTATGAAGGATATCAAGTGTATGTATAAGCTATTCCTTTTAGTAATAATGTAGGCAGTTATATTATTATTACACTTTCGCTAGAAATTGTTCAGCAAATTCAAAATGGTAGTAACTGTTGATTTACAATAGCATAGCGAAGATGTGGCTAAATATAATATCGTTCATTTTATAGGGATTCAGTTCGATTAGGTGAATGGAGAATTTCAACTGAACAGGACTGCGAAAATTTGGCAAATCCAGAATGTGCAGATCCTGTTGTGGATGTCAAAATCGAGGAAACGATACCGCACAAAGACTACAATAGGAGAACTGGAAAAAGTGATATTGCTTTGATACGATTAGCAAGGAGTGTTCCATTTACAGGTACATAACTTTAAGCAATAGCAACGTATTAAGACATGCCCTGCAGAGTATATTCGACCGATCTGTATACCACATCCAAACCTACCAGAACCTCGAGATAACACAGAGCTGTTGGTTGCTGGTTGGGGTGCTACGGAGAACAGTAAGCACCTAAAACGGCATGTGCAAACTACTAACCGTTTGTTTTAGGTTCCAGTTCAGATTATAAGCTAAAAGCCAAAGTTCCTATAGTGTCTCGAGAAGCATGCTCGATGAAAATTCGGCAACGCGGACCAATTACGGATGTTCAGATCTGTGCTGGTGGGTCTGATGGAAAAGATACTTGCCAAGGAGATTCAGGTGGACCTCTTTTGGGACAGTTCCCAGAAGTAATAAATGATAGGCAACAATTTTACCAAGAGGGGGTTGTTGCATGGGGAGTAGGTTGTGGTGTACAAGGATTTCCCGCTGTATACACGAGAGTGGCTAAGTACGCGACGTGGATAACTGACAATCTTCGAACTTAGATCGATCATTATACAAGCACTTCTTAGATATGCGCAATTTTATAAGAAAACCTGTAAGTTATTGCCTAATACAAATTTGTAGAATTTAATTCCTTGTTTCTTATCATGATAAAATCCAATAAATTCTGTTAATAATAAATTTTAATAGGAAATAATATTACTGGTATTCCCATTCGATAGCAATAAACATTACTAATTTATCTCCTTACAATTGACCTTTTGACCGAAGAATCCATTTTTATGCGTTTCATTTCTGGAATAAATGAAATTCTTGATCAAGTAAGTGCGTCCATAAAAGTGATGGTTATTAACTACTGTACGATGATGATGACCGCACGAACTCGTTAACCTTCAGGAATTTGTGTAAATGGGAATTCAAAAAATAGTAAATAGTAGATACATAAAAATGCTGTTGTGAAATTTCCAAATCAAATTTCCCACTTATTTTTCATTTATCATAACGTGCGTAAAGTGATCATAGTTGAGAACATTTTCCAAATGCCGAGTCGATACTTAGCTCTGATGTATACTATATTGTGAAAATGTTAAATTTGCTTTTTGTGCTATTCATTACGTTCGCATCAGTTGTTCTGCCATATGGTACGTATGTAGTTGCTATATGTGGATAAAATAAAATAAGACTACGTAGAATTGATAATCATTTTCGTCTACTCGTAATCATGAAATATTCATTGATTACTCAACATAGGAAACTTCGTACTTTATGAATTACAAACATTAGTGTCTCACATACAGTAAACGGGAATCACTTAATATGTGTTGTAGGTATACGTATATAATTATCGGACTCATGTTAAAATTTCATTCACTCAATAAAATATATAAGCACGAGAGAACGCAAGAACCTAATATACGAAGATGAAGAGCCACATAATTTTAGGATACATTTTTCTTAAACTTACGATAACTTGACCTCACAGGCCACGCACTGACGCCACAATTCATTGTGAACCAACATTCAATTATTTGTAGGTCATGTGCACTTAACATTCTATTAATTTGATGTATTCAATACATAAATGAAGAAAATAAAAAAATAAATACCGAAAACAATTACAATAAATGTTCGAAGTGTCCTCCTTGACATTCTAAGCAATAACCTAACCGATTTCGTGATTAAATTGGACGGCGGTATTTTTTAAAAATGTGACAGCTGTCAATTGTATCTACTACTCATTTGAACTACTCAATAGATTAATGTGTTTTTTTTTTAAATCGAACATAGGGAAATTACATTGCATGCAAACTCTTATGTTCGCATTTAAAAAAATTCACTGTATAAGTTTAAAAACTTTGCTTTGAGTTTATTTGGTCGGCATCGGTCATCATCTGTGAACAATTTGTTCGAACTGCTCAGTTTGTCTTTGAATTTCGGTAAATAATAAATGTAACTGGACTTCGAAATAATGTCGAGGGTGCATAATAATATCATTCATTTTTTGTTTATGTTTACCACATTTCACATTTCAATTCCGTTCGTCTCACTATCAAATCTTTATCTTAACTACTATATTGCATTTTTTCGGCTATTTATGGATTACGGATTATGTCATCGAGCCTTGCACCAAGGAAGGAATTTTGTTATATCACTAAAAAAAATTATATCAATCAGTTTTTATTTACCTCAATTTTACACTTTTCGCTATCATTTTGGACCAGGAAAATTTTGATCTAATCCACATTCTGAGATAGGAAGCGGTCACATGCATTAATAGAAAAAATGAAAATTAGTGTTGTAGTAGCTATGGTCGTTATTTAGGCCATTGTTTATTATCTGCAAATGTTAAAGAATGGATTGCGTTTTGGCAGGCTTAACTTTCTTACTTACTTTCTAAAGTTTTAAGAAAAAGAAGGAAGAAATTAAATGCACATGATAAAATACAAAAAATACGTAGGTAAACTGAAAACACGCAAAAAATTGCGAATGCGCAGACGTACATTTCTTAAGTCTAGTTTACAAGATACGATATATCGTAACGATGTGACTGTCAAAACTCAAATTTATTGTTCAAATATATAAATCGAAAAAGTGAGTACCTACTGTTTGTCGAGTGTCGATTGGGGATATTCGTTCAAACGGTTTTCGCCAGGGGGGAAGTACCTGTTGTGGTCAGTTTATATCGCTTGTTTAGTCATGAAATTGAAAGAGTCGTGAAGACGAAGAAGAAAACAGAGCTGCTAGTAGTTGCTAAAGAAAAAGCATTTTCATACAAAACTATAGTAGTGAATAAATCGCGAAATGAATCCAATGATTCGCAGAAATTGATGCCGGCCGGCATCAAGCATCCAATTCCAATTCCAATAAATCGCTACAATCATCTATTCACACGCGACGATAAAATCGTAACAATTCGATCGTTACGATAAATTGTTACAATATACCGTAGCACGCTTTACAGTTTACTTTACACTAAAATTAATTTAATTAATCTTTCATTGTACTCTAATGAAAGGTCTCAACGAAAGGAACCGTTTTCTACCAACTACTGCCCTTCTTTCTGTCTTATCAAAATACGGGCCAGAGGGGGGTGGGGTGGGGGGTGGAACTAGTTTTATCGTTCATGGTACTCTAATGAAAGGTTTCAACGAAAGGAATTAATTTCTACCAACCATAGCCTCCTCCTTGACCTCTTATCGTGATCGGGTATATTCCCTTACACCTCTAGAACGCATTGTCGGAAGAGGGTACTCACAAAGGGCGATTGAGACGTCTGCAAAAAATATATCCATTAGTGCACAGTTCATACTTGTTTTGTATATCAACCGTATGCATATTTTACGTTGTCATATAGCAAATTGATTGCTCTTTTCAAATATTGTATAAAAATATAGGCAACATGGTTACAACCAATAAACGTGTTTGTAATGATCATCATGGTCAAGTGCAGGGGCAGAAACAGTAGATAAAATTGCATGCCAATTCAATCACATTTACCTATATTAAAATATTTAAAAATTAAAGGGGGGAATTGAATTAGAGCTCATTTGTATTTATTAGTTTCATTCACGTTCTCTATTAATTTCTATTTATACGTAGAACAACAATAAAAATATAGACATAATATTGCTCGCCATTGATAATAGCGTAGGTACGTGCTAACACAAAACACGCGTAACTAAGCTCGCTGAATAACTGAGTAATGAGAGATATGCTTCTGATAGCCCAATCCAATTCGTTCCTCCGTCAAGCTTTTATAGGTAAAAAGCATCTAATGATGTTTTTCTGTAGAGTTTAGTCTACTAATTAACTCCCTAAATTCGTCTGTTGATACCGATGTCCAAACGGCCCAAAAAAGGAAAAAATTGAGTTTTTCAAAAAGTTCCTTTTTTTAATGATCTTTACAACAGTGCCTTTCGTTTGACGTTAGCTCTCATGGTAGGTAATGAAAATATAAGGATTAGTTAGCCATTCGCTTAAACAGTGTTTTGCAAAATGTTACTTTTTAGAATATCGTTTAGGCCATTGCTCTTAGACGAATCAGAATTTTAAAAAAAAAGTTTAAATAAAAATTATTGCTGGTAACATAACGAATCCAACGAGGGATAATGTTTGAAAATATCATTCTTTATAAATTATAACTAAAGGCACACGAATAAAAATATATGACGTCGCACGGAGCATGGCCTAATAAGAGTATGGCACGGAGTAGTCAGAGACTTATTATACCTAGACCGCGCATACAATGACACTCGCGTATAAAAGAGTGATGCCACCATGTTTAGGCAACACATCATACTCGTAATGGCAAAGCGCGAACCAGTTTAGCAAGATCCTACATATAACCAGTCGAAATAACTAGAATCATTGCATTAAAATTTTATTCAATGGTAAAATGAAATGTGCTTATCGACATAAAAATGTTTATTGGCTTTTAAACAATACTCATTTGTTGTATAAATGTCTAATTCTCACATCTACTTTGTTTATTTTCTTCTTTTCGTAATGAATACGTATTTGTAAAGAATACTTCAGTATTAAGTTTATTCACTGCAGCCTGCAGGACATGATTATGATATAATGATGATGATATGATCTTGAAGTGCCAAAAACAAATTACATCCGTGGAGACTTCTGCGCGACTTACAACAAAGACGCCGACTAAACAAATTCATATCTCTGTTACACTATCGCAAAGATTGTTTCTCAAAATATTCTTGTGCTTTTCTGCTTTTTCGATTCCATTCTACATAACTATACCATTGAATTTGATAGTTATAAATTCAATGACTATACTTAGATGTAACTATCCGGTAAAAAATACCTTATACGAAAATTTACACTAGATTACATTTATTTCATTATTACCGTTTCTAAACTTTTCTGAGAACATTATGTGTCTAGAAAGTGTGCGCTTTCGATTCAGCAAAGAAATTTTAAAAAATACTGAAAAACTAGCCCAGTTCAGCGATATAATCCCAGCAAAAACAAATAGTGAAGATTGGAGCGCGAAAGTTCTTGCCTTTAGGAGTTCGGTGGGTGGCCTACCATGTTGACAACATTCAACTTGAGTTATGCGCGGTCTAGGTATAACAAGTCTCTGGGAGTAGTACGCTTTTCAACCGATTCAATGAGTCCCCTCTTTCAAGCAATGTTTTTATTCACTTCAACTCCCGTAAGTAGGCATCTTCTTGTTCATCTTAACTTAATCTTCTGAAATAATTATACCTTCTTTAATTTTTCTCGAAATCGTCGTCGCTATGATCATCTTCTTGTGTGTCTTGTGAAGTATATTGGTTAACACACACCTTTGCCCTACATTTACCTACAATTGGGCAAACATGCCACTTCATTATTTTTTTGGCAGGACCACCGGGACACACATTTTTGGATTTGCAAATAAGAAATACAAACTTGTTTTGCACGAAAAAAACAAATCACAGTTATATTTTGTGTCCGAGTATGGTTGTCAGAATGGGGCTAATTATTCCCGTCGCATTTAATTTCCACCCATATTCTTAAGAATACACAATTAGGGATATAACATATAACTATACTTTTCCATAATAAAATATTCATAAAAAGCTTTTAAGAATTGCTGTTTCAAGGCTTCAGTTGTAGGTAGAAGTTTATCAATGCCCAGTTTGGCCGACAATTTTGCTCGCAACTCATTTAAATTGGAACAATGGGAAATCGAAATGACAAAATCATACAATATTTTTGGATCCTTTGAAATAGGGGTCAGTAAAATTCATATGCTTTACATCAAGTAAGTCGTAGTCAAAAACTTTCCATGCGGATGCTTTTCCAATTCCGTTGAACTGACTGGTAACATCCAGTTACGAATGAAATAGTATGTACAGGCATTGAATTTATAAAATTCAATGATATATCATATATAGGTAGGTAAGGTTTTTCCGCACTTTCCTGACCTTCCTGAAGTCGACCTATTCTATTTATCCACAAAAATCATCACAGACGATCTGAAGTGGCAATGTTTAAATAAGAAGACATCGACATATCATTACATCTCACTTTTTAACATTGTAAGAGCGACGTAGATTTAATTTAATATTACACTTTAATTTAATTATTCACTCGATTAATAATCATGCATAGTTTGTTTACGTTATTTTGATTATGTATATTAAACTAAGTAAAATCTGTTATTGAGAACTTATATGTTTAAAATATTGGCTCGGCCGTCAATAAAGAGATAATAATAATAATCTGTTGGGGAAATTTAATAGAGTTTGTATGTACAAATTTATCTTTTTGTGCATATACAATGGTCGATTTCCAATATAAATGAGTTGCGAGCAAAATTGTCGTCCAAACTGGGCATTGATAAACTTCCACCTTACAAGTACTACATTGCATTGAAAAGCAGTTTGACTCCTATCTTAATCCTTAATTGTGAAAAATATGGGGTGTAAATTGAATGAGACGGGAATAATTGGCCCATTCTGACAACCATACCCGGACTTCCACAAAACTGCGATTTTTTTTTCGTGTAGAGCAGTGACGGGGAAATACCGGCCCGCGGACCAAATCCGGCCCGCGACATGGTTTGATCCGGCCCGCAATTTATACCAGTCATCTTTAAAATCCTTAAAAAAATATTCATGAACAGGATGATTGAGAAACGTCTTGACTCTTGAGAGCGTTTTTTGAATTTCTTCCACAAATTTGGACTCAAATTTCGACGCTATAATTAATGATCAAACGAAATTTGTCCTACTAACCCAAGACATCGAAAAAAAATTTTTTGTCAAGCTGATTTTTATACGTATAAAAAATCCTCTTCGGTCCGCTTAAATGCTGTAATTACTTCATGTGGCCCTCTTTTAAATTTATTTCTCCATCCCTGGTGTAGAGGTTTGCGAGGAGGTTTGTATTTCTTTTTTCCAAATCCAAAAATGTTTACAAAGCAATAATTAATTTTTGGATGTAAAACAGGACGGCGTTCCTGCCAAAAAAATAATGAAGTGGCATGTTTGCCCAATTGCAGTAAATGTAATGAAAATGTGTGTGTGTGTGTTAACCAATATACTTCACAAGACCACAAGAAGATGATCTCGATAACTCATTAAATTTATTATTTATTGATCGAGAAAAATTAAAACAATCATTAATCAATTAAGTTCAAGTATGAACAGGAAGATGCCTACTTACGCGAGTTAAAGTGAATAAAAACATTTCTTGAAGGAGGGGACTCACTGAATCGGTTGAAAAGCGACAACCGCTACTCCGTGCAAAGTCATACATTTTTTATTCGTGTGCCTTTAATTATAAAGATATTTTCAAACTGTACATCGCGTTCGATTCGTTCTGTTACCAGCTATAATTTTTATTTAAACTTTTTTTTAAAATTCTGATTCGTCTAAGAGCAGTGGCCTTATAAACAATATTCTAAAAAGTAACATTTTGCAAAACACTGTTTAAGCGAATGGATAACGATTATGTGTGCGTTCTTGCCGTATATGCAATGTAAAATGCACGGAGAAAAATCCTTATATTTTCATTCCCATTAGAGCTAACACCAAACAAAACGCGATGTTGTAAAGTTCATTAAAAATAGGAACTTTTTGAAAAATTCCATTTTTCCTTTTTTGGGCCGTTTGGACATCGGAATCAACAGACGAATTTAGGGGGTTAATTAGTAGGCCAAACGGTACAGAAAAACATCATTAGATGCTTTTACCTATAATAGCTTGACAGGATGGATTTCTAAATCACTTTTGCGGTCGCGGTAACTGTACTATGGGCCGAATCTCACCATACCTCACTGCATTTATGGCCATCTTTACCTGTCCTTTACGTTAATTCTTTTAATTATTTTTCACATAAATGTTAATATGTGTAACCTTCAGTATACAGGGCAACAGGCAAACTGAAATGATTGTCGCTTTTCAATTCAATATACTTATATACGTTCATTTTCCTTTTAGAAAAGGAGCATTTAATTTGGGAATAGGGGACTTAATTAGCACCTAATTGGCACCTAATTATGCAATATGTTTGATTATGTTCTGCTGACTTTGCGCTGCTAGATTCATGGGCAATTTTCTTTACACAAATGTAAGTACGACATTAATACCTTTCATTCTATGCGGCAGTAAATATACCGTTTCCTCCACATTTTTGGAGAAATGAGCCAAAAAGTATGATGTCTCATTAAAGCGCCATCTGACGGTTATGAATAACCCTAAATTAAGACTGCAGCCCTTGACTGAAAACTTTAGTGTAGGTAAATCATACGAAGTTTTTGAAAATATATAGGAGCATTCGTGGTTTTGAATTTTCTAATTTTATATACAGGGTCGCTATTAAAGGAGGAACCACCAAAGCTCTCACCCTCAAACCGTTTGGGACATAGATATGAAAACTAGAACGTTTCCATTTTAAATTATTTCACATATTTTGAGGTTAAAAAATGTGTTTCTTTAATTCTTTAATAGCGACCCTGTATATCACCCAGAATAGATGTTTCGTCCTATAGCGGTTACTGTAGGATCAATAATGTCCAGCATTTTCTCTTAGCCACAATTAAACATGACTCTCAACATTTATTACTTATATAGCACTTTTTGCATTTGGCCACATGGTATAGGTTATTTTTCAAAGATGTTTACCCGACTGCCCAAGAAGTCAACGAAATAGGAAAAATACGTATACAAAATTGGTATAAATTGGGTGAAGTGAAGTGAACATATGTTTGTAGTTTAACTGTCAGAAATCGTACCCATTTTGAGAAAAAAATTCAACAATCAGCAGGATATTGTGGAAGTGTTCATGGCACACTTTGAACATCAATGCAATCATCAACCGGAAAACATTGTTTTGTGCAGTTTCAAACACATCAATTAGTAGTAGAAGAGCCATAGTTCTACTAAATTTACTATTACTTTTTTCTTATTACAGAGAGTGGAGACCGTTGCATTACACCCAACGGCGAATTAGCAACTTGCGTACCCGTTCATTCGTGTACTCATATTTTTGAGTCCTTGTTATCTTTGAATTTAGAGGTATTAGAATTCGCCAAAGAATCGCAGTGTCAAAGTAATAAAGAAACTTTAATATGTTGTGGTAACGCGACGTCTTTGAACTTGAAAGCTGAATTTCCGATGGGAAGGTTAATTCCAAACAAAAGTACGTGCGGAATACAAGATGGTACTAATAGAATATATGGTGGTCAACTAACTACATTAGAAGAATTCCCTTGGATGGCTCTTTTGAGTTACATTGACGGTTCGGAGGTAAGATCGTTCAAATGCGGAGGAAGTGTAATCAATAGTAGATACGTTTTAACTGCTGCCCATTGCATTCGGATTAATCCAGCGCTGGGAATCAGTTTGTATGTAGCCATCATTTTTTAAAGTGTGTGTTCAAAATTTTCTAGACATTCAGTCCGACTAGGAGAATGGAATGTAACATCTGATGAGGACTGTGAAGAGTCTGGAAATGAATGTGCGGATCTCGTCATTGATTTAAAAATTGAAAAACAGATACCGCATCCAATGTATAGCATGCGCACAGGTGAAAACGATATTGGATTATTGAGATTAGAAAGGAACGTTGAGTTTAGTGGTAAGGCTTAGCGTTTCTGACCACTAATCCCAAGGTTTAGATTGCAGCGTATATCATGCCAATATGTTTACCTTTAAATGGAGGAGATAAACGCCTATCCAATAAATCATTGGTAGTATCTGGTTGGGGAGCAACGGAATATGGTATGGAAGTAATGTTTCTTCTTACACTAACAGAATTTCTGCTATTAGGGCCTCAATCCGAAGTGAAGTTAAAGTTAAACGTACCAATAGTCTCAAATGAGCAGTGTCAAAAAGCACTAGGACACAGAGGAACAATAACGCCCAATCAACTTTGCGCGGGCGGAGAAACAGGAAGAGACGCTTGCCAGGGCGATTCAGGGGGACCTTTAATGAGCAGCTGGGAGTTGCAGGACATGAAGACGCAGTGGTATTTGGAGGGTATAGTGTCATGGGGAAGTAAATGTGGAGTGCTAGGATATCCGGGTATTTATACTCGCGTTTCGAAGTACTTACTTTGGATTATTGACAATGTCGAAGAGTTTTAGACCAAATTTAGCTAGATTAAATAAGTATAGGCTTACGGCCTGGCGCTTTTTTAGTTTAGATAAATATTTATAAATAGCAATAAACAATTGAATCATGGAATTATTTTTATAATAAAAATCATGCACAGACCCATAATTAATGTTTAATGTTACAACTCTTTGTAACAGGGAATCGCTTGGCCGTTTTCAAAAATTTGGTTTTGAATTTGTATTTTCGTCAACATAGGGAAACTTCCGCTTCATACCGAACGTGGACGAAAGTATGTCTGGTGCGATACCAAGAAATGTATTGCCGAAAACGAGCGTGGTTACCACGATCGATTTCAACCTAAAAGCTTCGGTTCATTCTGTTTAAAACCGGGCACGTGATGGAAATGCGGGGTTGATATTGGTTGTTGGTGCACGCCAGTCGAGGTCATTTGAGTGAATAAATAAGTTCCTTTTCGGTTTTTCTTGTGGGCGAGTTTCAAATAGCGAAAGAAGTGTGAAAGCGAGAGACTCCTGCTGCTTGATTGCGCGAGTTGAACCGTACCAGTTGACTGCGTTAAAAATTAGATTCAAAGACAAATTCCTGACCAATCACGTAAACTGTTGAAAATTTATTGTTTATTTTCGCGAACCATCGCGTACCATTTTTAATGTATTGAAATTACGGAAGTTATAAAAGTAGACGCGTGCCATTTTGTGCTCGAGAGATTTTATTTCGAGTATGAACGAAGTTTTGCGGTCGAAATTTCAGAACCAAAAAATGGATTTATTGAACGAAATTTATCCAGAGTGGTAGTAAAAATTGAACAGCTTCATGTAAAGGATGTTAAGTAGCGAGAATAACTCGTGTAAAAAAGTTCATGCAAATTCAGGCGTCTGACGAAATGTGAGTTACCTGCAATTTTATATGTGTGAAGAAACGAATTACAATAAATCCCGGGGAAGAAAAACTAACCCAATTCGTATAGATTTACGAGTGGTAAAATTTACACAAAGGAACAGTTTCGAGCCGCAGGTCCGCAAATAAAAAACGGGAGTAAATAATCTGACATTAAATATAAAATTCACTGTGATAAACAAGTTTTTTCGGGTAGCTAACAGTAACGGCTGGTTAAAAGCAAGTTTCTCAAGGTTGAATGGGGTCATTGGACAGCGCATTGTCCGATAAACCAAATTTGTATATACAACCATGGTATAATAAAAATATACAACGGAATACGGCGAGGAATTCAACGACAATGAATCAGTGCATTTTTCCTGCAATAAGACATAGTTAATAAGGGCAAAATGAATATTGACACAGCAGTGGAATTTTATTCCTATGCGTAATCACGATTACCCTTTCGCGAAATTAAAGCCGGTTTGCTCGGGTTCGCAATACGTGGGGACATTTTTGTTTTGCATTAATCACGGAGTCGACTGTGCCATTGAAGCGGTCTGTTTCCAAATTTCTAAAGGGATTAGCATTTCCCAAGGAGAGGAAAGCTCAATTGTAACCTGAAAGTAATCTCATCTCCGTCAATTACTGAAAGTTGTTTTAAAGTTTTTGATTTGTATAAAATAGTGGCCGATTATTCTTAGGAATTTGCGTAAGAAATTTTGTTCGAACTAATTGTAATATTCCTAAAGGAATCGACCCGGGAAAATTTCGAAATTTCGAATTTTATCGATTGATAAGAATAAAATCCAAGCAAAGTATTTGGGGTATTTTAGTTTATTGTTGGAAACTTGGCATTTAATTGCAGTATTACTAATTCTTTGGTTGGATTAAAAATGTGTTTCGTATTCAGGGGTATGTATTAAACAAGAGAAGGTATCTACCAAGAATTTATGTATAGAAAAATGACAGTTTGGATAAGGATCAAATTTAACATGGATATGTGATCACAAAACGGCATTGCATTTTTTTTGTATTTCATTTTATGAATCTAACTAATATTTGACATCAAGAAACGTGTAAAGAAAAATTGACTTCGAGTGCCTTTATTTTCATTAATGTTTAATTTGATCAACTAAAGTCATATGCGTATTTATTCGAGTTCAATCCAACCAGACCATTAGATTTTGGATTTCAGATTTTAAGAAGAGATAAAATGGCAAACTTCCGCAAGGTAAGGAGTATAAAAACATTGTTATTACTGAGTTAGCCGTGGGTAAATTAAAAAATAATTGTCATATTTTTGCCAGTGCCGTAGACCGGTAGACGTTCAACTTTATGTTAAGCAAGCGAGGTCTTCTACCCTTGTAAATATAACAAAGCCTGTTACATCTTATGAAACGTTAGTAGCCGTTGACCTCAACAATCACGCTGCATCTATACAACATTTATAACCTAAATATCAGCATAAAGGCCGATTCTCACTATACATAACGTTTCCACACCATATCCTTTCCATAACCATTCCGTAAATTATTATACCTATGAAATTGACCTTTAAGTGATATGTGCGTAAGACATTCAGCCGCGCGGTAATACACATTCTCCTTTCCGTTCACATATGGAAGGCGAATGTGTATTAGCGCGCGACTGAATGTCTTACGCACATATCACTTAAAGGTCAATTTCGTAGCCTATAATAATTTACGGAATGGTTATGGAATGGATATGGTATGGAAACGTTATGTATAGTGAGAATCAGCCTTAAAATAGTTATCTATTATACAAGGGAAAAAAGTATTAAATTTTAGCTCGAGGGCGATTACTTGTTTTGAAATACCTACCTAATTTTTACATTTTGTATTTCGTAAAAGCAATGGTGCTGACCGCTTAACAGAAATTAACACTTGCATATACAGAAGGTTTCATGACTAATGGTACAATACGTTAATGTTATAGATTTGTTCATTTTAAACAGAAAAGTTCCTAAAAACATGTGCTCAATTCTCAAAGGTATCTGAGATACAGCCAATAAATGCATAATAGTAGTATATATCACGCTTCAGCGGCGAAGAAGTAAAATTCCGAGTGATATAAACCAGAACTCTGTAAATGCGCAAGTCTGGTCATCAAAAATGCGCCAAACTCACTTTTTCGGTATTGATAAACCGCACTGGTTAATTTCCCAAAAAGATCGCATTATAACTTTGCCATAGGAGCGAGCACTTGTATAGCGTGTTTATACCCCAGCCACACACTTGTCGAGTAGCAGGGGAAGTAGCGTGACGAGGAGGCAGAGACGTAGTGTGGCCACATCACTCGCAATGCCGCACGTCATGCCCTCGTTCTGCCAACCGCTCCATGTTTTGTCGGTTTTTTGGGCGCGAGTCAAAGGATCGGCAATACGAGCGCGAGGGGCTGGCTACATAATCGCGCGAAGCGCTGGCAGAAAGCATTATCCTTATTTTTTAGATGTTATCCAACATCTGCGTTAGTGAAGACGACGAGGACGTATCTCTTTTTAGGAAATTGATGTAATTAGCACCAAAAATTCATAGCCAACAGTTTCGACATCCATCGTGTTGCACAGGCAAATGCCAAATGCGAAGTGAGGCGATTAACGAGTAAAGGAGTGTGTGGACAAAGAGCGAAACATCGCGGCAGCACGTAGAGCAGGGCGATGGGCAGTGCGAGGAGCATAGTGTGGCTGAGGCATCATTACTACTGCTATACACGTCCGAATAAAAGAAAGTCTATATCTGGGGAATTATTATAGTAATAGAATTTCCACCAATGATGAAGCAGATGAACACACAACTTATGATACAGACAGATGGTCAGACTGAAAGTAGCGCATTTTTTGAAATTTTGTTTGAGTTGCGCTAAAAAGGATGTACTCAACACCGCTTAAGATGTAGAACCAAGGAACACATAAGTAGAATAGAAGGACAAATTTTTTTAACAACTTTTTAAAATTATTTCCGTCTCAAACGGCAGGTATGGAGTGGAACAATTAACACAAGCTAAGCCCGTGTTACAATTTTCAGCCAGGATACGATGGAGAAAAAAGGTTCACCAGATAGCTCATAGACTAAAGGGCGTAAATTATGGTAAATTGAAGCATGCCCATTGTAACCATTAAACAATAGTGTATCTTTATTCGCTTCAGTTCTTGTCAGATGAAGTAGCATCGTCAGGGTTGTCAATGGTCATCTTTATTGCTTACAGAATAAAGATATAAATATATCTTCACTAGATTTTTTATTGCTTCCAAGTTTTAGTTTTTTTCAAAGGCGTCCGACATATTGTTGAAAGCTATGACGCTGCACCGTCTCTAGAAAGTCCCGCCAGTGGCCCCTCCGCCCTTTCTGCCCTATAACGCTACGCCACTGTCTCGCTAGACAGTATAGCGCCGACGGTGCACTGATTTGGATCCTTTTTAATTTATTACCATACAAAGGAAGATATTTGTAACTGCTTATGTCCCAATGTTTATCTACAAATTTGGATATAGGGAATTTACCGAACACCACGTCGAATAGGTAAATAGAAACTTAGTAGACACTTAAGGTGGGTCCACACCAGTGGCGGATCTAGACATATTTTTCGGGGGGGGGGGGGGCTGCTTTTGTGGATTTTCAAAATTAAAAAATAAACGCTAAGTTGATTTTTTTATTTATAGAGAGTTCATGCGCGAAAATTGTACGCCGCTTTAGGGTAAAAGGTTGTCCATGCCAATCGAGGAAAATGATGTAAATTTTTTATATGGACGGGGGGGTCACCGGCCCCCTGTGACCCCCCCCCCCCTAGATCCGCGCCTGGTCCACACCAATAAACATTTGCGTTGTGTGTTAAATTTTGAATTTTGGCACACAAATTTGAACATTAGGCGGATCCACATTGGTAAATATTTGCGTTGTGTGTTGAATTTGACACAAATTTGTACGCCGCACGAAAACGTACGCAAATACATAATTTCGTGACGAACAAAGCACACTATCCACTATGCTGTCGGTTTTCCAGTCAACTCAAACTTCAAAGGGAATTTGCACCGCACAAGGTTCTAATGTGGACTTGTGCATGTGAATGTGCACACGTGGATTCAGCAAATAGAACACACAACATAAATATTTACGTAGTAAATACGTGACCATATTCAAATTTGTGGGGCAAATACTTTTGCCAAAATTCAAAATTCAACACACAACGCAAATATTTTTCAATGGGGATCCGCCTTAGAAAGGTTTACGTAGGGAAATGTAGTTAATTCGGTCAATTAGGTACAAAATTGTTGTTTATCATAGCATTCATAGCGTACCATCCTCCTATTACTGGCGACCTTGACAACCATTTGGTGATCGGAATTAATAATTTGCCTCCAAATATCAATGCAATGACCCTGTATAATTAGTACTAGTGCGATGTCTAGAGCTATGGTTAATATCCAAGTTCGTGGAATATCAAGTCGGGTACTTTACTCATCACATCATGTACACTCATTTCATCAAAATATGTTTGCGTAGTCTTAGGGATATTCGTGTAAGCGGCATCGAATATGTTGAAATTTTATAAATACGCGACACGAAGTAGCATGACTGCATTGTGGTTCTACGTATGTGTGTTCCTACCATTGGTGTTTGAAAAGTGCAACACCGCAGGCAAGTAAATTACCAATATAATATTTTGTTTTGAGAAAACTTTCAAACGTAACTCTCTCGTGTGCTCTTCTACTATTAAAAATGTAGATAAATGAGATAACTTCTAGTGAAGGTCAATTTGTCGTAAGCGACCTTTGTAGTAACGGGATTTACCAGCAACGCTTGAATTCTCTGACATGAATCCTAAAATAAATCCATGTCTATGTACGACGTACGTACATTTTTAACGGGTTTTTCAAGAAAGATGCAGCTAGCAACTCCGTGAATTTCGTTGCGCCCGCCGCCCGTACTCCGCGGGTTGGGTTTGAGATCTCACCACTGAGACCGCCTACGCGTTAATTTTACTTAATTGGGCTATTTCGTGGAAATAAGTTTTTAGTGAATTTTTAAGATTTAAAAAAAATTTGGTATTGTTTGCGTTTTGTCCGTCCGTCTGGCTGTCCGCCCGGACCAACTTCTGAGGTTTTAAACTACTCTTAGGGGAATGGTCCTAGAGTACTAGAATTTTCTGCAATAGGTGTGCCAGACGGCCATCACATGGGAGTTCTCACAAAAGCAAAATGAATCGTCCGGACGAGACATATCTAGTATAAGCGAATATCTTGAAATCGAAATATCGGAAGAGGGTATTCTCAGATGAGAAGATCTAGACGAGGCACATCTACCTACTGGCGATGCGAAAACTTAATTGTGAATATCTCGAACATGTTCGAGGAAGGCACAAAGGGAAAATGCAATATTTCTGAAAATTTCTCTAACGTCTTCATTCTTCTTTCTTTCTCCTATAGCGTACATTTTATTTTTTTTATATAGGATTAAATTTCAGACGTATTGATGTATACTAATTACGCTAAAAATATTTTAAAAAGATTTTTCTAGGAGACGAAAAGAACTTTTCAATGAAAGAAGATGTGTTTCAAGAACATTTCGAATCAGATTTCTAATAGGTATATCGAGAAAAATGATTTGTAAGGTTTTCAAGGAGCTTTGTAGACAAATTTGTAACAATATTTCTGTCAAAGAAGATTCCTAGATAAATTTCTTAACGAACACGTCACATATTATTTAATATTTCAATGTATCTTTTTAAATTTTATAATTTCTTATTATACATGGAACCAATCTATTGTAATGTAAGTTTAATTACATGGTTTATTTATTTACAATTATTATCAATCATTATTAATAAACAATAAATGTATAACGGGCTTGAAACGAATCGACTTATAACAGCGCGAACTATTTATTACTTCGGCGTTGAAATTGGAACTGTCCTGAAACGCAATTTCATTTCCTTATACCGTAAAGTAGAGTGTTCTCGACAGTACCGTCCCGTCGAGGTCATGAAAGGACAGTGGTTGACCGGGCCGGGACAATGCAGGGCCGGGAAACACATACGAAAAAATAATAAAAATAATGTTGTAGAAATGTAGTTTTTATTTTTTCCACGTAGGGTGTACCGCTATTTTTGTCTATGAGGACATGTTTAACCAAAGGGTTGCATCACATTCTAAAAGAGTGTAGGTACACTCCTCGGTACACTCTATGTTGGTGTCCGGTAAATACCGGAGTAGTATAGACCAACTTAAGACCTTCTGCAGAGGCACCTCTAAATAGCATTATGCGGGTCACTCTGTAATTGGGCGTATGCCTGTTGAGGGCCCAAAACAAGAGAGGGATAATATAATATAATATATGCAATTAATATTCATCTAATGAACAATTATCCTGTAGAGACTTTACGCAAAGTATAGAGATTGAAATCCAAACCTCTGTCAAAACTTAAAAAATACCACAGGAGCATTTTAAAGTTTCGAAAAATTGATTAGGATTTCTACCAAGATTTCAATAAACTGACAAATAAAATAAGGAAGTTTTTTAAAACAAACTGTATGATAATTTCAAAGATTTCAAAAAAGCTCCATGAAAACACCGTTAAGATTCCTATTGCCGCCACTGTCTTTTATAACGTCACTGTATACCTAAATGTGTTACCCATGCAATTGTTGTTGTTAAGAACAAATCATAAATTACCTCATGTTGGAAACAATTTGGAACCAATGTGTTGTACAGTTTTCCTGTTTTTTTGGATGTACCATCTGCATCTGACAAAATAGCAAGAATTTTATTCAAATTTCATTGCTAAGTATTTTGGAAAAATATTTTCTTATCCTATACAAGGAGAAACTTACATTTTCTCGACTCTGTGAGGACGCGAAAGAAGACAATTGCACGCATGGAGCGAGAAAATTCAATTTTGTCGGCTAGGCGAGAAAAAAAATACGCCTTTTATGTAAGCTAGATGGCGCGGTTGTAATAAAATGTCAAAGAAGTTATTTCTTTTTAATTAAATAAGAAACAAAATCGTCAACACTGATTTAATAATTAAATTTACCCTATGTTCACTTTATTTTACTGAATTCAAGAATTTATTTAATTACCGCGAACCTATACCTATCAATGTTTCGTGAATTTGAATACTTTCCCAATATCACTTGACCAATTCAAACGTTTCAAACTTAAGTCATAATCTCCCATTTACTTTCAATAACGAGCATCTGTGTCAATACATTTAACATCAAGATGTACTTTGCACTGTAAGTAGAACACCGCTTATCCGCAATAAGTAGCATTTTAACATACGAGACTACCCCGAAGTTAGAATGTGTCACAAATGTGTCCAGTGTGACTGTAAGGAATGAATAAATCTATTTATAAAACACATTTTTTAAAATACAAGATCATCAAGGATTTAAAGTGTGCCCATTGCGCTTTCGTCGCTAAGCATAAATCCAGTCTTAAAAGCATCTAACATTTGACAAGACATGGATCCTGTCAAGGATTTAAAATGTAACCGGTGTGATTTTGTCCCTGAAAACACACATTCAATTTTAAAACACATTTGTTAATACACAAGACCAGTAATAATTTCAAATGCGCCTGGTATTAATTACAACCCCTTAAATCCCGTTATTTTCTAAGGAAATAATCACGCGCCAGTGAAATGCCGGAAATGTCAACTCAGTTCGCACATGATCGGTATTCTCCACTTGCATCTCTGCTCTGTTGCACCGTGACTCCCTTCGGTGACTCCGCACTGTGCAATCGCAAGCGCGCTAGAATTTGACTTTGCGTTGAACTGTATTATAAGGGAAAGGGGGTAAATCTACGAGTAAAAAATATACTCGTGGGCCCACGTAGATTGCACCGTTTCGTAAAATTTTTTTCGCGTAGTCAGCAGGAAACGTGGAAATAAACAAAACAAACGCGTTGACGTTGACGCGTTAAAGCAAATCCAAATTCAAGCGCTTGCGGTCGGACGTTGTTGAGGGATTAATTTTAAATGTAAGTGTATAGGATAAAAAATATTGTGTGCACCACGGCACGAAAGTTGTTTTCCGGGCCTCAGGAAGTGGCCAGCCTCGGCTGCGCCTCGCCTGGCCATATATCTTCCTTCGCCCCGGAAAACAACCACTTTCCCGCCTTGGTACACAAAGTACTATTAAATGCACTCATGGAAAAATATTGATTAAACAAACATCAATTAGTGTTCTACTACTTTGCAGTGCTGAGATTTGTCATACGATATACGCAAATTAATTTTTTTTAATATCATACGAAAATGGCTAAACAGGTCTTTATAAATTTACAGTACTACATTCTTTATTGTTTATTTTACATTTAAATATGATAATGATAATTTTTTACATATAGCATTTTCCCCATTTAGGTAATTCGTTGACATCAATGTTTTAAAACAAAGCGTGACTTACTAAATATTCTGAGCATAGAGGTCGGTTGTGGCGCACAAAAACGAATTTACCTATGCTCCCCTTTTAAACCCTTACAAACCATGTTTCACAATGTCGGCCAGTATAAGGGAATGATGGTGGTCAAAATCCCTTATTGGGACATCTGGGGAACAGTGATGATCAAAATCGCTATAGGTTCCCTTTAATCGCATAAAATTTTTGGTTACAGAACGAGGGTCAAAATGCATAACTCCAAATCAAGAGGTAGCTTCCTGCACACCAATAACTACATGTCACATAATTAGAGACGCTATAACAACTCGGAACCAAAGCGCTATAGAATTTGCCCAAAAATCGCAATGCGGGCACGACACCGAACCATTAGTCTGTTGCGGTACCTCGGCTTACTCCGCGGAACCGTACTATTTCAGTTACTTTACCAAGGCACCTGCAACGCCTCCTCCTAAAAAACTAATACCTGGTCTGTCGTCTGTATCGACAAATACACTACCTGACAGAACGATATGCGGGATTGAGAGAGAGTCACAAAGACTAATAGGCGCAACAGTAGCGGCAATAGACGAATTTCCGTGGATGGTTTTAATTCGATATAATAACGACCAGGGAGAGGATGTTGGATTTAAATGTGGAGCGACGTTGATCAATAACCGATATGTTTTGACGGCAGCTCATTGCATTTTAACATCTCCAGAGCCGATCTCTCCGTAAGTATGTTTCCAATATACTATACTCGTATACCTAATTTTTGTTGTTGTTACTTTGGTTGCCATGTGAATGTAACATAAAAGCTGCTCTATTTTTAATTTCGTTAAAAATGATTCAATTTTGATGAAATTTGTATGAGACCTTCTTTAAATAAATTCGGATCGATTCCGAGAAAATGGCTACCGGGAAAATCCCCTGAGCGCCTAGGAATCGTCGCCGTCGAATGCGGGTGAATTTAAAAATTCGCCCCCCCCCCCTCCCCAAACGATTGTAGTACGGCGTCGAGGCGCCGGCTAGAGTAGGTGTAGGGATAGTTGGCGCAACTTTCCACGAGGTGAAACAAATTTCTAAAAATCAAATTTAGTTCGCATTTAAAGTAGAGGGTAAGAAGAACCTAAATTCAAATTTTCAAGCAAATACGTCGAGGTGCGAAAAATTACACGCCAAAACGGTCATCTACTGGCCTAATTGAAAAGTGATTGATCTCGACACGTGTGGTGGGATTTAAAGTTAAAATTTAAATGCAGTTGGATGGGCCCACATTAGGACAGCTCTAAACAGGTGCTATGAACTTTAAAGGAACCGACGGGGGTTCGGAAGCATGTTGCCTAGCATATCAGTTACTTAGGCTTGGTGATTTGCAGTAGATGCAGTGAGTTGGTTGTCCTTAATTGTGTGGGCTATGGGGCGTGGTGAATGATTCTTCTTACAAAATGCTGCCTTTCTGTTTCTCATTTACACTAATACTGATGTGGCTTTCAGTGGATGTATGCGGTATTTTACTTTGTGTTATTGAATAGAAACTATTGGACATTGTTTCAATTAAATCTGTGCTTTCTGATTTTAGAGTCAGCGTACGATTAGGAGAATGGAAGATTTCGACAGATACCGACTGTGTTTATAATATTGCCATAAGTACGTGCTCCGATTCCGTTGTTGATGTGAAAATTGACCAGCAAACGCCGCATCCATATTTTAGCTCAAGCAATGGAAACAACGATATAGGTCTCTTAAGATTGGAAAAGGACGTCCTATATACAGGTAACCACATTTTAATCGAAAATGAACCAAATGTGAAACTTTTATAGATTTTATACGTCCGATCTGCCTACCCGCAGTTGATGTGCCCCCACCTCCAATTGGGACCCTGATGACGGTTAGTGGTTGGGGTGCCACAGAGGAGGGTATGCGAGTTAAAGTCTCCTCGTTCGGCTAAAAAGTAATAGTTTTGTAGGCAATCAAGCGGATATTAAATCCAAAATTGAAATACCGCTTATTTCAAATTCTGATTGCGAAAAAACAGTTTCGAAATACACTCGTATTACTCCAAACCAGGTGTGTGCCGGGGGCGTTGAAGGGAAAGATGCCTGCAAGGGAGACTCTGGGGGCCCACTCATGAGGACTTACGTTGATGACACCTCTCAATGGTATCAGGAAGGAGTTGTTTCCAGAGGCAGAGGTTGTGGAAAGAAAGGATTCCCTGGTGTTTACACGAGAGTTGCTAGATATGTTAATTGGATTTTAAATGTAATTGCGGAAGGATAATTGTAAGATTCATTGTGTTTTTATATCTTCTGTATATTTGTAATAGCACTTAAGAATTGTGTGGGCAATCGTTGGTTCTTTATAGCTTGTTAACCTTAAGTATTTGTTAGCAAAATGACCACAATTATTAATGTCTTAATAGTTATATGTGCCATGGGATAAACATTTAAGTACTGTCTTTCGGTTAGTTCGTGTAACGTCAAATCCTTATAGTAACAAGCGTTCTGGTCAAATCTCCTGTACTTGGCAAACAAAAAATGTATGGCTTCTCTAACATTGCAAAAGATATTTCCAATGTTAGTAATTTTGGTCAATGATATTAACCTTAATCATTGTAGTAGAACTGAGCATACAGCTGTATACTTTTTGAATTTTGCGCGTTTTTACAAATTAAAATCATACGGTCACATCAACAACCTTAACGTTCATGTTTCAACGAAAAAATTTCATCTAACTACTACCGCAACAATTATTGAACGCCCATTACATTCTCAAGTATGATCTCTTAGTATAGCCCGGTGTCCTAATCTTTAAATAGCGAAAGGTGAGGGGTGAAAGATTAGAATAAAATCGAGTGGTTGATTGCGAAGATATTTGCTCAAAATGACGTGAAATACTCCGAAATATGCTCCTACTAATCAAAGTGTTCTTATAAAGTGTAATTGCCAAGATCTGAAATTCTGCGATGGACGAACGGGAGACATTCAGGCAAAGAACACTAGAAATACAATAAATATAAAGGGTTTAGGCGACTCTGAAGTAAATTTGTTGTGTAAAACGGAGTGTGTAAAGTTGCCTAACCTCTTCAAAAGAGCATGTTACAAGTAGAAAGAGATGATTGAATTTGTCCCATTCTATTTGGTGTCTCTTTATTTATAACCTTTCAATGGAGTTAATTATAAATGCAAGGAGCCTAATAACACTTGCCTAATGAGCTTTTCTATTGATATTAATAAATTCATCTTGTTTATTTATTGCATGGTAATTAAAATACTATTAGTTTACGTATTTTCCTGTTTAGTGTTTATTCAAAGGATTTTGCGTTTTTCAAGTATGGATATTTTTCTCTAAAGCAATATTTTGCATATGGTGCACTATTATTACCGGCGATTGTAAATTAGGCCGATGGTTAGGTACCTCATTATTATAAAGTACCTATATGAAAATTTGGTCGGTGTCCAATTTAGATTGAGACACCACAAACCGAAGCAATCTAGTTACGTTTGTTGATATACAGGAGGAAAGCGAAAGTTTTAGGTTTTGTGATGTTATCATATCTTGCTACCCATGCAAAATAGAAGAAAGGTAATAACTGTCAGTTTTAGATATTTTTACGTAGAATCTAGTGGACTAGTAAAAAAAGTTTTGGACCACTCTGAGATTTGATCCGAAGTTGGTGTTTTTTAAACACCGTATGTTTCATAAAATCAGTTGTTTGCTTTCTTTGTCCTAATTACACTGATGTATCACAACCTATATAAATTTTTCAATTTTACCCATGAAAATGAATAAAAACGTAAGTTTTTACTGTTTGAAATACAAATAGCAGATTAAATAGAGATTATGGTTTTTTTAATTATATCCATGGTAACTAAGGCAAACTATACCAGTCAATAATGCTGATACATAATTGTAATCAGGATAAAGAATGAAAAAAAATATTGCAAAGCAAATGTGAGATGTGGAAGTTGGAACGGAGAAAGCGTATAACTGCTTCCACATTTGGAAAAATATGCAAGATGACAGCGAAAACGGTTACGGCACTTCTTTACAGCACATTTATGGGAACACATGCCACAGAATTTGGACTAATCCATGAGGTCAATGCTATCGCATTATTTGAGCAGCAGTATGGAAAACGTGTTCAAAAAAGTGGTCTAATCATTGATAAAGATATTCCATTTCTTGCCTGTTCACCGGATGGGTTGGTGGAGGATGATGGTGTCGTTGAGGTGAAGAGCTCCGAAAAGAGCGGGGACCTGTCACCGATAGAAGCCTTCCAATGCGGAAAAATCGACTTTTTCCATAAACCAGGTGACACATGGTGTTTGAAAAAAAACCCATAGCTATTACTATCAAGTACAAGGGCAACTGCACATAACAAATAGAAATATTTGTTACTTCATAGTATACACCAGAGGCGGCATACATGTGGAACAAATCGAAAGGTAATAATTCGCATTTTTTCTGTGAAAGATATGTTAATTTGTTTTTGTAGAGATGACGTTTTTTGGACTACCAAAATGGCGGAGAACTTATCTGACTTTTATTACAACTCGCTAATCCCGGAATTGGTAGATCCACGAAGAAGTAGAGGACAATACCTGAGAACAATTTACATGAGTTGAGGGGGAGGTGCAACACTATGCATTAATTATTTAATAAAGTATTTTTTCTTATTGTAAATATGTATTTGTATATTGTATATAAAAGTATAACATTTCTTTGTCTATTTTTTAAAATCATCTTTTCCTGATACTTATGAGTCCCTTCACTGTTGTTGTGTTGTGAGACGTATCCCTACATGTTTTATATTCAATAAAGATTTATCGCAATAAATTCGTTGCTGGGTATTTACTATGATCATTATTGACCAAATTACCTATTTGTTATTTACGTGCTTAAATGAATTTAATTTTCATAGAAAGTCTAAAAAGTGTTAAAGCGGAACCGCTATTGATAAAAGGAACTGCGAAAGTGATTAAATCACCCAAATCTTTTTTCAAAGTTGGACCTTTTCTATAAAAGATGAAAAAATAGCTATCCGTACGAATAGTGGACTTTGTTAGCAGATTATACTGCGTTCCATTCGGTCAAAATTACGTTTCGGTCATTTTGCCGTACATATGCGCCGTGCGAACGAGGGGTTAGTAGGATTAAAAAACAGCGGAAAAAATAACAAGTTAAAAAGTAATCGTAAACGATTTACATAAAGCGCATTTCCACTTGCATTCATTTCCCATTTGTAAGATGCAACTTCTGTTAAAATCGTAAAAATCCGGCCACAAATATGAAAGATAGCGTTGCACATGGGCAATCCATTGTTGACGTGCTACTTCAATTTCAGTTTATGCGAAGAATTTCATTTCAATGCTTTTCTAAATAAGAAAGTTGGAACTGCGCATGCGCAAACCTAAATTTTAAAACTAATGTTAGATTTTCCTTTGTTCCAAGCGCCTAAGTATCAAATTTCACTTAAATAGTTCCATAGATAAAAAAGTTGGCACTGCGCATTCGCAAAATAAAATTTTGAAACTAGCGCTAGATTTTCCTTTATTCCAAGTGCCTATGTATCACATTTCATTTAAATTCTTCCATAAATAAAAAAGTTGGCACTGCGCATGCGCAAAGCCAAATTTTGAAACTGGCGTTTAATTTTCCTTTATCCCAAGTGCCTATGTATCAAATTTCGTTTAAATTCTTCCATAAATAAAAAAGTTGGCACTGCGCATGCGCAAAACCAAATTTTGAAATTGGCGTTTGATTTTCCTTTATTCGAAGTGCTTATGTATCAAATTTCGTTTAAATTCTTCCATAAATAAAAAAGTTGGCACTGCGCATGCGCAAAACCAAATTTTGAAATTGGCGTTTGATTTTCCTTTATTCCAAGTGCCTATGTATCAAATTTCATTCAAATACTTTTATAAGTAAAAAAGTTTGCAATTCGGCTTATAAATGGTCGAGATGCGAAAAGGGCACTGTGAATTTTGAATCGATTCGATTCAACTTTTGGCATTGCGTATTATATGGCTAAAGCTATGCCCATATTGAATTTCATGCAATTCAGTTCATAACTAACGGAGATGTAAAAGCGATCGAACATTTCTAAACAAAGTTATCGTTCACACGGACAGATAGATGGACAGGCAGACAAAGGAACAGACGGAGAGACCAACCGACAGGCGACAGATAGCAATGCAAAATTATAAACGATCTCTAGGATCGTTAATAAACGGCAAAAGTGTAAAATTATGGAACATGTAAAAAACGGTTTTTTGTTTTTTTTACAATAACTTTTTTTGTAAGCGGTACAGAAAAAATTCCTTCCTTGGTACAAGACTCGACACCATAACGAACCAAATAGCGAAAAAAGTAGAACAATAGCTCTTAAGATAAAAAACTAGTAGCGTCGCAAAGTTAGCGGACGGACGGACGGACGGACGGACAAAGTGGCCACAAAAGCGCATTTTTTTTTTATTTTTGTGGAAATGCGCTAAAAAGTTATAGATACCCGCAATGAAAGTATAAGCCACAAGGAACTCGACAAGATGGTAAAAAGGTGTATATTTAAAGGAATTCCCTCTATTTGTGTCATAATGCATATTTAATCATCTAATTACCCTATAATTAGCGAGGTACAAAAGCAACAGTCAATTTCGCCGGAAGGTATGGGGTGCAATCTAAGCTGCCTAACTTCGATTTAAATCACTGAAAAATTCGTGACGTCACACAAATCTTTTTACCAATTTGGCGCTTTTCTATAAAAGATGAAAAAAATTGCTATCCGTAGGATTAAAGTGCTTTATTAGCAGATTATAAATCGCCAAAAACCATGTTCATCGTGCAAATAGAACTCCAGTTATCCTTTAAATTCGTTTTATCAACGACTCTAATTATTTAAAAGAATATGATAAATATCGAAAATAAAAATCCGTAGGATTAATCTGTACTATATTTCCTACAATATCCAACATCGACCTAATTTCCAAAGCAACTGTAAAAAACCGTATCCTTTATAAACTATTTTTTCTATTTCGGTGTCACAATGATGATTTTGTACAACTGTTTTAGGCCGAAAACAGTTGTACAAAGACAGTGATTATAGTTGTTTTTTTTTTTTGGTAACTCATATCTTAAGTTGGCAGTTACTAGTTAGTACAAGTAGGTACTTCGTTGGGTACTTCCATGTTTGAACTTCAAAATGTCAGTCTTACTACGCTGCCAACCTAAAACTTAACGGCATAAAAAGTGTTCCCAACATAAAACATGTTAGTTCTAATGTTCCCTATAGTTTCTGATAATGATTTTTTTAATTAAATTAAAGCACCGAAATAGAAAAAATAGTATGAAAAACGCGTGTTACAATGCTTTATTGTAATACTCCTATCTTGCGGACACTCGTGGCTACGCTTCGCGTCGCCACTCGTGCCACAAGATAGTCGTATTACAATAGGTCGCATTGTAACACTTGTCTTTCAATATACTATTGTCCTTTTATAGGTCATTTCAGATTCAGTTCATAGGCGCCTTAAGGTGGATACCATTTAAAAAAGAGAATCGCTTAATCAAACCTATTAAGAAACCATTGACACTAACGACAATTAGTGAAACAACGTTTTGGAGAAACCGTCCTATAATGAAACCACCTTGTACACCTCATAATACTCAACCCCTACGTTCGCCTCAACCCCTAAAGAAACTCAACTCTAGACCTTAACTTAGACCCTTAGAACGCTTCAAACTACCACAATCTAATTTAAATCGCCCCTACATCGATGTGTCTATATTTTATATAAACCATTGAAAGCAGGTGTAACATTAGGAAATGAAAATATGTATTACTTATCAAATGCAAACATTTATGTCATGTTAACCGAAATAGCTTTTGTTTTGACATCACCAATGGATATATTCTAGGATACATTTCCTGCAGACGTCTCAATCGCTCTTTGTGAGTACCCTCTTCCGACAATCCGTTCTTGAGGTATAAGGGAATATACCCGATCCCGATAAGAGGTCGAGGAGGAGGGCTATGGTTGGTAGAAATTAATTCATTAGTTTTATTCAATTGTTACAATTTATCGTAGCGTCTAAACCGCGCTTTAATCGTTGTGTAGGTAACTACCTCACCGTCATGTACCTATACACGTTATCCTGGAGATTGGTTAGACGCTGCAATAAACATGTACATTTGTTAAATAAAAGCTTATTCCACGATCTATCATTATCCAAAAATTATATCTACTTCAAATTTATTTATTATATAAATTATTTAATCAGGTATACACTTAAACAGTTATCGTATAAATATTTTGTGTGGATATACTTGTCCTTGCAAATTTCATATTTAGCGCCTCAGATTTAGTTCTCATTTTAGTCATACCCAGTGATGGCGCTGCAGATGTTGGCTTCAATTTTTATATTAAATATTATTATACGACGCTAGCAGTCCAGTTTAAATGGTCGAAGGCTGTCACACATAACAGGGATACCAATTCCTAAACAAATAAAGCCTCCAAAGAACGTGTTAGAATCGAAAAGTTACCAAAAATCGTGCTAGAATTAAGTTCATTCTATCATCATAATCCGAATCAGAACAACGACTTTATAAATGCGAAACATAGAAAGTTTATTATAGTTGAACAAACAAAGATTCCCGGTGAAATCGATTAGCACCATTTTGAAGGCGTGTTTGAAAAAGAAAAGTAGGGATGAAAGCTAGAGATTAAGCAATTAAGCGTTCGCCGTTCAACGAAAAACCACGGTGAGGATCGTTTGTAGAATGCGACCTACAAAAGAGATCGCATCCATAATTTAAAAAATGATAATCGTGTTAAACAGTACGATGTGCGTGTGCAAAAGCAGCAAACTTAATTAAATCGAGTGGGCGCAAAGTAATAACGTTAAATAAAAGGTGGCTACGAAGAAAAAATGCGAATTACCACATCAACGTTGTAAATAAATAAGGATGTAGAATGCATTTATAATTAATTACGACGTACACTGGCCTACACTGCTTGCTGACGTCGCCTGCTTGAAGTTTAACAAGCTTTCGCTATCAAATTTCCCCTTGATTAACAATTTCTGACAAAAAGCTAATCTTCCGTCTACTCCAAGGAGTACCCGGTTATTACATTCAATGAGTTCTAAGAGTGATGCCCTTCAGTGAACACGCCCCTAGAACCCGAGCCTGTAATCGAATCAGATATGCGCAAAATTGCGATATCAGTAAAATAATTATTATCATTTTAAATAGGTACCTACTGAGTAGTAAAAGAGAATCTCTTAAAGGAAGGGTCATTTCCCGTTTCAATTGTATTAATATATTAATTTGGACCAAATTGAAAGTGTGTAGAAACCGTCTTTCTTGGAAGGATAATTTTCCACAGTGATTACTTTGAAGTTGGGTAAATTCAAACAATTGTGTTTAAATAAATGATAAAAAATTATAACAGTAACGAAATATTAATTTAATATCACTTTATGATTAAGTTATTCCAACATTTAGGGTTGAAAATTTTGAATTCGTCAATGTATCAGTATCCCTCAGAATCTCGACCGATTTTTGTTTAATGTAGGTATTTGAATTATAGTTCGATTATACTAGCTTCAATCTACAGTTTTATAATTATTTGCAAACAGGGGTAGTTTTCTTCAATAAAAAAAAGTATCCGCCAACGGCACAAGTTCCAATCAGAAGTAGGGGGCAGGTAGATCCGTTGAGTAAATTCCTTATTCAATTGTAGAACCAAAATCCAAATTTTTGTCCAAATCCGTGCTGTTTGGAAAAATTATACGGTATCGCCGTATTTTACTTCAAGAAATGGATCACTATTTTACTGCATATTTCAAACTTGGCACCTTACAATCTTGGGAGTTTGTCTTTCTGAGCGTTGACGTGCATGCATAGTTTGTTGCCGCATTTCATTTTTAACGACGGAAAAACAAATCAATTTATTATTATTATTTATTTCATACTTATGATTGACTGACATAACAATAATAATAATCCCTTCTTAATATAACAAAAGAAACTCCGTAATACTTTTAATTGGTAAATAATAATTACAGGCAAAGTACACGTCACTGGAAAGACCGGTTCAAGTCGAACTTTTATCATTATGTTTACATTAAACACTGCGAAAGGTTATGCTAAGAAACGTTTGTAGATCGATGCGAGTTGTGTTAGGTACTACACAAGTCTGCAGTCTGCTCAGTGTCGACGATGATTGTTTGGATACTGTTACTGTTTTTTAATTTAAACGCGGCAGGTATGTTTCTTTTATTACTAATTGAAATCACTACCTAACAATCGGTCATGAATGTTCAGAACTCAATGAGGTTTGCGTTACACCCAACGGAGAGCAAGCAAAATGTATACCTATCAATTCCTGTCACGTAATTAGGCAAGCGATAGCGTACTTAAATCCAGAAGCTATCGAATTCGCACAAGCATCGCAATGCGGTTATGAAAATGGACCTCTGGTTTGTTGTGGGTCAAGTGGGCGCAAAACCACTCCATCACCGTCGTCAACAACGACCCCCAGCGCTCAAAGCGTACCACAACCGGAGGAAAATTTTTCTCTTTCTCCTTTGGACGACCAACAACTACCGGACGGTACATTGTGCGGAATTCAAATTAAACAACGCGATAACAGAATAGTCGGAGGAAATATATCGGACATCTACGATTTTCCGTGGATGGCAGCTTTAAAATATCGAAAACCCGATGGAAGTGATGCTGGATTTCGATGTGGGGGTACTTTAATTTCTAGCAGATTCGTTCTAACTGCTGCTCAATGTTTGAATATTCGAGGATACGATCTGTAAGTAAAGGTCCATTTTTGAAGAAATTACACAGTTACTTTATTTTAATAGGGCGGAAGTGCGTCTCGGTGAGTGGCAAATATCATCTTCTGCAGACTGTGTCCCGGACACCGAATCCGCAATGGTGTGTGCTGATCCAGTAATCGACTTGAAAATTGTCTCTCAAATACCGCACCCGTTTTTCAGTCTGAGAAGTGGAAATAATGACATTGCTCTTCTGAAGTTAGAGAAAAAAGTGAAGTTCACAGGTGAATAAGAGGACAAATATAGTCCCAAATATGAAATTTCATGTTGCAGATTTCATTCGACCCATATGTTTACCGCCCCCAGAACTTCCAATACCTAAAGAGGGCGCAATGATGGATATTGCCGGTTGGGGAATTACAGAGAATGGTAACTTTTGATAATATTGTTGTTTTTAAATTCCCATTACGGACCTTTTTAGGTAAACAATCCGATTACAAATTGAAAGTTCAGGTGCCGGTTTTGGCCAACGAAAAATGTAAGAAGATTTATACCGATTATACACATATTAACCCAAATCAAGCGTGCGCTGGAGGCGAACTTGGAAGGGACGCTTGTGATGGGGACTCGGGGGGGCCCTTAATGACAATATTTGAAAAGAAGGATCTCTTTGATGAAGACCAATGGTATCAAGAAGGAATAATATATAGAGGGCTTGGTTGCGGTCGAAGAGGTGTACCTAGCTTGTATACACGAATATCACGATATTCCAAATGGATAGTAAATACAATTCACTCCAATATGTGATGACGTGTAAATGTGTAAATTACTGTGTGATGATATTTCCTGTAGTTTAATAATAAGCTATTCGTATTGTGCCATATTCCACAAGTTGTGATCAAATATGAACAAAAAAACCCACATACTTGGTTGTATTAAAAAAAAAGGAGGTACCTAGTAAAATATATAAAGTATGTTTATTGTCCGTCTTTTAATTATTATTTGGCCTTTACACTTCCCGTCTTTAAGGTCAATCGCTACACCTACCGTGTGTATATCATACATACATCAAGAAATGTACTACAATCTACATATAGATATAATTACGTTATTTGGGGCTTTCCCAACGAATTAAGTAATTAAAATAAATGACCCTTTATAACGCACTTTCGTTATCAAGAATAAATTCCCGCTTGTTCAGACTGGGATTCTGCAACTTGTTGCTTGAAAACGTCAACTCAAATCTTTTATGTAGGGAAATATGTTGAAACCACACGTCACTAAAAAACCGTAAATTGTTTATTAACGTTGCCTTTGCTTCTGCGATGACCTTTAGATCATGATAGTGTCATAAACTAAACAACTGGTTTCGTTCGAAGCGTATTTCCCAGAGAGGTTAGTTTTGTATTTGTGCCAACAATGTACAGCCGGATACTTTATCTGCTCGTTTTAGTGCAGTTTCGTGCTATTTTAGGGAAAAGTAAGTTAATCAAATACATTTTCCATTTTCATCACCATACCTACTTGCTTTTATAAACAACAACTGACTGTAACCTTTGCATGATAATCAGTAGCATTACACCTATTCGTAAAATATTACAAATTTATTATAATTATCTATAACCATATAAACTATCCTTTCGGTCGGGCGCCCTAAGGCTCGATACCAAGTGGGGCGCCGTGTTGATAGATCCAGGCCAGAAAAAAGCCCTTATCGTGGTTATAAGGACAAAAAACTCCTGAATATCACAGAAACGAGTCTTTTTTTATCCCCGAGGACGAAATTCGTGAAGAGAGAAATAATTTCATGAAAATACCAACTTCCCAAATAAAAAAGTAGAACTTATATGGTAATCACTGTATTCGCCGAGGAATGGGACAGCGCGATATCTCGGGAAAGAATGCAAATTTTCAAATTCTTCAACCTTTGTTATATTTTTTTTTGTACACGGGAGGAGGGAATTCCTTTATGGACACCTGAGTGGTAGTGTGGGAGTCTCCAAGGCATACCCACTAAAACCCTCCTCTCTTATCGCCTTTCAATTTGTACCGGTATCGCCAAGGCATTTCTTCAGTACATGGGTTGTTCTGGTTATGCTCCATCTATTTTCTCCTGTTTGAAATCTTTTTCTTTTGTTTTTAATATTTGTGTTATCATGTTATTAATTGCGTTCCATTTGTTCTCTTCTTATTATTATTATCCCTCTCTTGTTTTGGGCCCTCAACAGGCATGCGCCCAATTACAGAGTGACCCGCATAATGCTATTTAGAGGTGCCTCTGCAGAAGGTCTTAAGTTGGTCTATACTACTCCGGTATTTACCTTACGAATTAGGAAAACTGCAGGAAAACCTAATTCGGAGGAGCCGGTAGAATGCTCGGAAGTGGTCTAAGGTAGGTAATTTCCATCTCCGCCACAGATGAAAAATTCACCTCAGCCCAGGTTCGAACACCCGACCTCCGGATTTATAACCCAATGCTCTACCACTGAGCCATAAATCCGTTGATGATCCCTATGATGTTTTCTATACCTATTTCTGCATGTATAATAATACCTTTGGTTTTCTTGCGCTCCTCTGTAAATCTTGTACACCGTACTATTGTGATTTGTGTGTTCCACCGTGTCTGTCATTTCGCAGTACATACATTTTTCATTAGATCTTATTTTAAACCTATGTAGATATGGGCCGAATTGTCCATGCCCTGTCAGGAATTGTGTGAGATAATAATTTACTTCTCCATGCGGTCTGTTCATCCATACTTCTAGGTCTTTTATCAGCATTTATGTTAATTCCGCTTAACCTGTTACTTGCTCCCATTCCCTTTTCCACGCTTTTATTGTGTTTGTCTTGTATATTTTCTTTTCTTCTTCATTCATGCCGTAGGTTTGTGCTCTTTCTATTATCAGCAGGTTTATCGGAGCCACTCCAGCGATTACAAGCGCCGCCTCGGTTGATACCGTTTTGTACGCGCAACATATGCGGAGGGCTGCGCGTCATTGGCAGCTCAGGAGCATATTCTTATATTTTAGCAGACCTGCCGTTTCTTTCCAGACTGGGGCCGCATATAGCAGCATTGAAAGGATTACACAGCACATAACCGGTCTTTTGCTAGCCGACGGTCCATTTATATTTGGCATTAGAATGCTAAGCTCCTTTATTGTCTTTTTAGCCTTTATAATTGTGCACTTTACTTACTCATGGACATATATTCCTACCTATAACCACTCCCAGGTATTTCGCTTGTTCTTTAGCTTTGATTTGGTGCCCCTCTATATGTATCTCCATTTCTTTCACCTTGTTACCCCCATATAGAATAACCATTTCAGTTTTATCTGGAGCAATTTCTAATTTTTTCAATTTTAGCACCCATATAAGGTGGTCGAGTGTTTGTTGCGCTCTTTTCTGCCTTTGTTCTGCCTCGTACCATGATTGCGGTATCGTCTGCAAACCCCAGTATCTTTACTTCTCCCTCTACTTCTGAAATCGATTTGTATCTTGAGGATTTCGTTGTAAAAGATGTTCCATAAGATTGGTCCCAGGACGGATCCTTGTGGAACTCCGCAGGCGACATCCATCACCAATTTCTCTCCGACTTGCAGCTTCCTGTTCACCAGGTACGATTGGATAAGCTTGATGAGGTAGTTGCTGATCTGCATTTTTTTCATTTCGTGGACAATTCCTTCCACAGGTGCGCTACTAAACGCGTTTTTAATGTCAATCGTTATGAGGACATATAAATCTCGGTATTGGCAGTTTTTATTCTTGTTTTGTATTAGGTGTTGCTTGATCTTTTGTATTGCGTCTACGGTGGAACGCTTCTTTCTAAAGCCAAATTGGTTCACTGATAGCTTATCCTCAATTTCCTTCGCTATTCTGTCGGCTAAGAGTTGTTCAAATAACTTACTTATAGTGTTAAGTAGGCATATCGGCCTGTAGGAAACATTGATATCTGTTGCCTTTCGCGGTTTCTCGATTAGAATCAATTTCCCAATTTTCCACGGACTGGGTTATACGGTTTCTTCTAGTAGCTGGTTAAAAATCCTCAGCACAACGTGCGGATGTTCTTGTGCCAATATTTTTATTATCTCTGGCGGTATAAGACCTGGACCAGGTGATTTTTTATTTTTTATTTTTGTCACAGCTTTTTTTAGTTCATCCAAGATAAACCTGTCTCCCGTTGTATTCCGGTCTATTTTGGGTATCACAGTTTTAGTTTTTGGGAATAGCTGTTTCGCAATTTCCATTTGCATGTCGCCGCCGAGATTTATTTTTGGCGTTTGCCGGTACTTTTTTGTAGCAATTTGATAGCCCTTGCCCCAAATATCCTCATCTATTTCTTTGCAGAGCTTCAACCATGATTCGCGTTTGGCCTTAAGAATAATCTTTTTTAACTTTTCTTTTTCTACCTTATACCGTTCAACCGCTTGGTTTCTTTCCGCTTGCAGTGTGTTTCTTTTTGCGTTTATTCTTGTTCTGATTCTTCTTGCTTTAATGCAGATATTCCTTTGTAAAGCAATTTCCTCGTTCCACCAATATACATGACATCGTTGCGCCCGCTTCCTTGTTTGAAACGATTCGTTGAGAGCGGCTATTAGTGCTTTATTCAGGCTTTCTGGTTTAGCATCGTTAAGGTGTCCTATTTCAAGCCTTAGGTTCTCCTTAAAGAGGTCTGCTTTTTTTTCTTGTATCTTCCATCCTTTTAGTTCGTCCGTGCTGGTTTCTTTGTTTTCGTTTTGGTGTGCGAAGTATATTCTTTTGTGTAGGCTTAGGTTTTCTTCCTTCATGACATCCCATTTACTTACATGACGTATGGTATGAGTCCTTCAGATGTTATTGTGAGGTCGATAGTGGTCCTGCTGTTGTTTCTGACGAACGTGGCTACTCCACTTTTGTTGTGTATGTGGAGGTTTTGCTCAATACACCATTCGTGCATAGTTTGGCCTTTTCTATCCTCCCTGTTCCCCCAGGCGAATGCATGGTAGTCCTGGACCTCTATCCATACAAGACCGTTTCCATCTTCCCCTTTATTTAGCACTTTGATATTCCTGTTGATTTTTTTAATTGCCGACTCTTGATTTCTATCGGAGAACCACGTGTTTTTGTTTAGCATAGCTTTATTTGACTCTGAGATCAATAGAAAATCTATTTGTTTTTCATGGGCAGTTTGGAAGAGTAAGTTCATCGCCGCCTTTCCCCTACCTATGTTGACTTGTAGGATTTTAAGTTCCATTTTTATAGGTCATGTCCCATTTTCTCCTCCTTAGTTCTCCTATGAGATCTCTGTATTTCGGACACGCCCATTCATCAGCTCTGTGCCCTGCTATATCACATGTATAGCAATACTTCTCCTTTTTGCAGTTTTGTGCCTTATGGCCATTTTCTCCGCAGTTGAAGCAACCACCTCCGGCTTCTTCGTTTTTGCAAACAGCTGCAAAGTTCCAAATTTCATACATTTGTAGCACTTGAGGGGCGTTATTACTTCATCGATTCTCCACTTTCCCCAACCTATGTCTATATATCTCCTTTTAACTAGCTCCGTAACAGTTTTTAGGGGGAGACCGACTATGGCGTATTGCATCCCTACTTTATTAATTCGACCTGGCATACGTAGCGATATTTCGTTTTCAGCTAATCCTGTTTCTTTAAGGAGTACATTTAGCACCCCAGATCTCTCTATCGATTCATTGATGTCTTTTATGAAAATAGTCTGTGTTTCGTTATGATGGTTGCTTCCAGCTTAGTCGTTGCGATTATTTTGTCTTTTTGTTCTTAATTTTTATTGCCGTCTGTATTTGAAATGCTAACTTTCACAGCCCCCGTTTTAGTTCTACTTAACTTTTTGATATTGACACCCATTTCTTTTATGTCAATTTCAGTTTGCATCCGTTTAACTATATCCGTATATGTAGTTCCTTCGTTTGGCTTTACTATTATGGTGTCTATTCTGTTCCTGCTTTTCTTTTTCTGCGTCCGTTGCATTTCCTGATCTTTTGTCCTCGCATCTCCTGTTATGTGGTTCGTGTTTAGGGGTCTATTGTCTTTTGGCTCATCTGTGAATTTAGGTGGGATGTGTATATTCACTTTCGTCGCTGTGGTTGATAAAACTGTTTCAATCATTTTCCTGTATGTATTTAGTTTGCAAATACTTGGTTTGTGTGTCGCTAGGGGTTCAAGATTACCGATTTTATTCTCCTCTTTAAGGAGCATGAGCTGTTCGAATAGTTCTTCTTCGGTCTCAACCGGCCCCACTTTGAATATTTGCTTCTCGGTTATTTGTTCCGTCCCATTGCTCATGTTAGTAGGTACGCGTAGTAATTGTTATAGATCATCTTTCGTCTTTTACCTCTTCTATATCTGGGTATCTTTCTTTGTACTGCTGCTGTAGGCCTTTGTTCATATGTAAGTCATCCTTCTCTATCCACAGGATCATTTTTTTAGTCTTTGCTCTGATTGGATTTCCTTCCACTATCGTAGTAATTTCGTAAGACTTTCCGGACCAGTCCTTATTTGAGGCTTCCACAAACTCTTTGTAGTTTTTTATATCTTCTAGCGCAAGGTTTGCGGTCCCTTCTCTGTGTCCTACGTCTTTTCGCGGTTCTGTTTGCGTCTCCATTTCTCGGGTTTGTTTTTTGTTTAATATTTTACGTTCTGCCTCTTCTCTTCCTGCTAATAGGTCTGTGTTAAGGATAGCTAGCATGTCTTTGTTTGTTGGAGACGCTTCTTACATAGGAGCTGTGCTCTCTTATCTCCTTCTTAGTCTTTGTACTGATACGTATTTCATCCTGTAGTCTCTTAGTTTCAGTATCGAGGGTATTAAGGAGTTCTCTGAATTTCTCAATTCTTTTGGCTAGTACAGCCTGTATTTCATTCGAATTATTTTCATCCTCGTTCTGGTCTTCTATTCGTCTTCTCTTTTTTATTGCCTGTCTGTCTTCGTTTCCGTGTGTGTAACTTGGGCAGTCACGTTCAGTACCGTCGTCGATGAGGATACTGTAACGGAAACGCTTCAGACATGACGTCGCCTTTGGCGCTCTGGAATTTTCTACGCGCGCGATAGTGGGATTTGTGTAGGAATATTCGAGAATGTACGCGGATGTTCTGGACTTACATTGCTTGCGTGTATAAATGGTTGCGGACCGAACATCGCGGCAGTTTTACTATCGAACGAGATCGAGTACGTATGAAACATTAGAGCGCGGAAATATAAATTGCGAAGTGTGTGATATAAATAATCGATTTAAATTGTACGGTTTTTTTTGTAAGTGTTTAGTTTTGTTTAATAAATATTGATATAAATCGAACCCGAATTTATAAATCACGTTACAATACTATCCTCAGATCTTATGTTCGGTACTGAACCTCTTCTTGTTAGAGGTGGGCTCACTATCACTATGCTTTGGTTCATTAATTTGTTTTCCGAGAGCTGTTTATATTCAGGTGGCGATCTTATAGTTTTAAAGCTTCTTGCGAAGTGATCGGGCTGGTTTAGAGTTGGAGGGTCTTCGACGATCGATATTGGCAGTTTCGCCCTCCCCCCCCCCCCCCCCCAGAATCCGTGGGGCTGACCGTGACATCGGTGGAGGATTCTCCGTTTCCGGAGGTAGTTCAGTTTTCGATTCTGCTTCCTTCTTGTTGTGTTTTCCCTGTCACGTAGGGAACACACGCCATTTTAAAGCCACTGGCAGCTATACATACGTATAGCTGGCCGCCCCAACTAGGGAAACAGACGCCTTATTGAAGCCGCCTCACTGAGAACAGACACATTCATACTAGTTTTGGTCTGCCCTGGATAAATCCAGTACCTCCCATATCTGGGAGGCATTCCCTTATCCGCCACCTAGGGAGGCGCCCAATGGGGGACTAGGAACCCCGCATGGGAACCTTTGTTATATAATAATAACAACAATATCCCCACCAAAAACCCAAGCAAACTCACAAATACAACCTCAAGCACAAAGAAACACCATAAATACAAGTAACGCAACATGCACCACAAAGACAGGTCCACCCAATAAAGTTACACGTCCTAGCACAGTTAAAAAACACAAAACTCCTTCTTCGCAGAAACACACCACGTTATCACAACCCACTCGTACTCAACCCAAACGCAACAACCTTAACAGAACTACATGCTCACAACAGACTGTAATATCCCCACCAAAAACCCAAGCAACCACACAAATACAACCTCAAGAACAAAGAAACACCATAAATACAAGTAACGCAACATGCACCACAAAGACAGGTCCACCCAATAAAGTTACACGTCCTAGCACAGCTAACAAACACAATACTCCTTCTTCTCAGAAACACACCACGTTATCACAACCCACTCGTATTCAACCCAAACGCAAAGCCAAAGAAACAATTAAATCCATTTAATAAAATTTCAGGAATTATTATAATGATTCTATTTTGTTTTGTTTTCCTCTTTTTTGATAGCGTTGGCTATTGTGCCCATCAATACCTATGTTGGTAAGTATGAATTACATACTATCCCTAGATTGCCAATGCACCCTACATAACACTGCACCAGACACAGACACAGATACTAATCGTTACTTGATTTTAATCTGTGCGATTAGTTAACCAGGCTAGACCTGAGCTCTCACAAGAAACACCGACCATAATAATAAATAAATAAAATAATAAAATAAAAAATAAAGAGGAATTTTTCAAGGCGATTCTTTAAGTCCGCTCTGGTTTTGTCTTGCTCTTAATCCACTTTCATATTTGTTAAACACTACTAACTTTGGGTACAATATTTAACACAACCACGAAATACATCACAACATTACACACCTGTTTTACATGGACGATCTTAAATTATACTCTTCCACAAGCTTAAAACTTAATCACCTTCTACACATTACCGAAACATTCTCACGTGACATACAAATGGACTTTGGAATCGATAAATGTAAAACACAACACATCACAGCTGGTAAAAGACAACTTTTAGATTATGAGCTAGAACAGGGTAATTTAATAAATTCCATGGACGAGAATGAAACTTATAAGTATCTTGGTTTTCAGCAAAACACACACATTAAACATACGAGTATAAAACAAACACTTATTACACAATACCTACAAAGAGTACGCAGTATACTTAAAACAAAATTACACGGTAGAAATACAATCAAGGCTATTAACACTTATGCCACACCAGTGCTTACATACTCTTTTGGGATTATACGTTGGACAAATACAGATTTAGAACAAATACAGAGAAACACACGTACACTATTAACAAAACACCATATACATCACCCTCACTCCTCTACTATAGGACTTTACCTTCCTCGTTCGGAAGGAGGTAGAGGACTTACAGATATAAAACTATTGCACCAAACACAAATACACAATTTGCGACAATACTTTTATAACGCAAAAATCCATTTGTATTATAGACATTACCATACCCAACACTAACAACTTAACTAAAATACATGCAGAAAAACACCGCAAATACACCGATATAGCTACCGAGCTTAAGACGCAATGGAGAATGAAATCTACTGTTATAGTTCCCATTATTCTTAGTGCTACCGGAGTTATACACCACAATTTACAACTATTAGGTTTAGATAAAAACACATACAAACATTTGCAAAAAGCAATCATTATCAACACATGCCATATTGTTCGTAAATTTCTAAACATAACACAAGATTACTACATATACACATGAATTACCGTATCGACAGTATCCGCGACTTTTCCTGAATCTACCGATTGCAGTCGACTGTCGAGTACAATTAACACTAGACGCGACACCATTGTCTTTTTTCTACTCGGTAAACCTGGTAAATTCATACCCATACAAAACATAAGCATTTCCAATGCTAAAAGTAATCCTATATTGTAAGAAGGGTACGAGCATTTATGCCTGATACTTTGTTCTACTTTATGAATTGTAGTATTATTAACTTGCCCAGTGGAATATCTGATACGTGGAAATTCGTTGGAAAATGCGCTAAAACATGGAGCATTTCGTCGATAATGTTATTTGCTCTTCTACATGTCCAGACATCAAAATTAGTATGCGTTACCGATTTCGTTGGAAATATGTGCATAGTTCAATAAATGAATTTGTTACATTTCTGTTGGGCACGTGAGCAAGGACAAGTGGTGTCAAAATTGTTATTTATTCCGTGTTTCATCGGGAAAACGTCGAAATACCGGGCGATCAAAAATGAGTTGCTGTCGAGTCGCCTTTGGAAGTCCAAGTTAAGTACGATATTTCCCATGGAAACAAAAATGTCAAAGGTGACTCGACAGCAACTCATTTTTGATCACATAGTACATTGCTTCAATAAATAAGAAGTGAATGTGATCCATACGCGTTACGATTTTCGGCATTGATGGAAAATACTTACTTATGTTATGCTGCATGCCTGAAGTCTAGAGTCCAGAAAACATGATGAAATGATTGGTTCCTTTTAATGCAAGAATCACAGTACAAAATATAGTACAATTTATATTTACATATTATAGGTACTATAGAAAATGTTGTTACGACTTACGAGTGTATTATTTTTGAAACTATAAATTGTTGCAGATAGGGGCGATTCGTGCACAACTCCAAACAATGAAAAAGCTACCTGCACAGCAATACAAGATTGTAAAGTGATTTTCGATGCGATTGTTACACAGAATAGTTCGGCAATCAACTTCGCAAGAGAGTCACAATGTGGGTATGATTCGTCGCCGTTGGTATGCTGTGGAAACGATGCTTACCATGCTCCTACAACACAAAATAGTATATTCAATATATTTACAAGATTACCAGAGACGGTTACTCAAGCCAGTAACCTAAACCAAGACGTGATATTAGAAGATTTTAAAACGGATGCATTACCAGACAGAACTGTGTGTGGATTGGAGAAAGAAGCAAAACGGGTTATTGGAGGAACAGTCGCTGATTTGGATGAGTTTCCATGGATGGTAGCGTTGGAATTTAAATCAAAATTTACGGGAGAAGATGCAGGCGTTAGATGTGGAGGATCTCTTATAAATAACAGATATATACTCACTGCCGCCCATTGCATATTGGATAAAGAATTTGAACTGTTAGTTGTAATGCTCTTTTGTTCAATTTCTACTAATAAATGTTTTTAGAACGGGAGTTCGGTTGGGCGATTGGAAAATTTCCACAGATCCGGACTGTATTGACGGTGTCGCCATTTCGGAATGTTCATCGGTTCTCAGAATGAAAGTAAAAGAGAAACTTCCTCACCCTTATTACAGTAATAAAGCCAAAAACAATGACATTGCTTTGCTTCGATTGGAAAATGACATCAAATTCACAGGTACATATCAGATTTGACTACCTACCGATTATGTCTCATGTGTTGTGTGTAGATTATATTCGACCAGTCTGCTTACCACCGATTAATTTACCAAATCCACCGCCTAATACACCGCTCACTGTGGCTGGTTGGGGAGCAACTGAAAATGGTATGTATGTCGATTAGTTGAAACCGTAAGTCTCTAATTCGAATTGGCTTCAGGAACATCGTCCGACGTTAAATTGAAGGTAGAAGTACCGATTCTAACAAATGATGTGTGCAATAGAAAATTAAGCTCTAGCAAACCGATTAGTTCAAATCAATTGTGTGCAGGGGGAGAACAGGGACGGGACTCTTGTCAGGGAGATTCTGGTGGCCCTTTAATGAGAACCTATCAAGATTCGAGGACTCTGCAATCTCAATGGTACCAAGAGGGCGTGGTTTCCTGGGGAGTTGGATGCGCACGCGCAGGTTACCCTGCAATATACACTCGTGTGTCTCGATACATCAATTGGATTTTAAATAATATTTCGGATAATAGTTAAATCACCGTAGTGCGTTACTGAAATGGGATTCATAGGAACTTCGATCCTTTTGCATTTTTGCTAGCCTACTCACTACCTGGAGTGCATTTGTAAAGCAGCTTTAAGGATCGTTGTGGATTGGGCCATTTCTGTAAGGCACTTGTTATGTAGGTGTTATTTATCATTTTACATTTATTCAACCCATTGCTCTTTTATCTTGTGGAGGCGGATTCATTTTTTAATTGATTAATTGTTCGGTCAGAACATATCAAAGTTTGTGGTGTTTTAATACCGTTGGTTATATTAGGTATCCAACTTTACAATGTGATGTGCCATATGAAACCGTCGATCGCGTTATTGTTAATTTTACATTAAATACGTTAAAATCAGGCTGATCATACAACATGTGATAAAAAATTAGAATATAGATATACTACACAATAAAAAATCAAAATATGTGTTATGTAAAAGCGGTTTTAATTTTGTATTGCAGTATATTTGGGAGAATGAATTTTTGTTTCTTTTGATAAGAAATACATGCCCTTAGTAGAGAAACTACTGAAAGTTTATTTATAAAAATAACTCTAATTTCATCAAAAGTTTTCAGCTCTATATAGCTTACAGTTAGGGTTTTTAAAGTTGTAACGGCAGTTTTGTCTTTGAACATTTCATAATTTTGTACCACTTTGGTCTTTTTACATTTTTTGGTTGACACTACAGCTTTATAGTTTACCAATACCTTTGTTACTGTTGGCTATTTCTGAATAATCTAATGATAGTGGACTACAGATAATTTTATTATTGTATAAACTCGCCATGAAAAAATCGTAGCACAGATATACGTAAAATATGTGGTAGTAGGTATGTATTACCTATAGGTATATTGTTTACCAAGGACGAGTAGGTAGTCAGTTTTCGGTGATAAGTCGGAAGTTTTACGTACCTATGTACCTACAAGAGGCGCCTTTAGTTAGGCGTAGAGTACGGAAATTTCGACGAAGAAAAGAGCTGCTCTTATCAACGAAACAATACTTTCCTGTTTGAATGATCAGCGAAATGTCACATTTGACGTACGTATAAAAAAAAATAATTTAGTACCAATTATTGCTATGAAATCGTTAAAACTTCACACTTAAGTGCCAACATCCACATCTTCTTTTAAGTATTTATATTTTTATATAATTAGGTACATGCTACTAATTTTCAGATGACACTAACTTCACAGTGCCAATATTAAAATTTTATTACTGCGGCTTTGTGATCATTTTGAGGTAATAATGTGTACGTTCCAGAGACTTGCTATAACTAGACCGCGCTTAACGTATCTAAGGTGTTGTCGACACAGTATGCAACACACAATGCACCGCGGGGCAAAAATCGCTGAGATGATATGCAATATAATGAAATAAGCTGTTATTTTAGATGTTCCGTTCATTAATCATTCTCGTGATTAGCTCGAATTAGTGAACAGATAAATTTCTGTTGAGAATAAACCAATAAACTTAGATTAACTTGTGCCTATCAACATGTACTCTGTCGATAAATTTTTTAATAATATGCTGATTTTCAACGGATAAAAGTTTAAAGGGCCAATGGATCAGAGCCATTCGAAGAGAAAAATTTACTCCCACCATAGTGCATTTGCGGGGAATGAAGCCGATTTTAGAAAGATACCTACGAAGGTGTTAAAAAATAATGCAATGCCGAGCGTTTTCGACTTTCCCATTCACTTAAAATAACGTAGAACTATTATTCGACATCCTTTACCAGCAAGACAACGGCAATGCCTATTTGCCTATTAGGTATAGACGTAACTAAGTACTTACTGGTACTAAGTATATTTCAGGTTTTGTTACAAGAAAAATAGCTAAGTCTGTTAAATGTTCCATATGTGCAGATGCGATATTCGCATCAGAGAGTCATTCAAAGCTTTTAAAGAAAAAATCGTGGAGGATTGTTGCACGTATCAAGCGATGCATTAAAAATTTGCCAAATTGCTGAAAATGTGTTCAGGTTTTTCATTCAATCCACACCACACCGCGTTGTAAACAAAATGGTTATCAGCAGTCTCAGAAAAATAAATAACAGTTACAGCCCATTTGGGTTTTTGGATAGGCATATATTGAAACAAATCCGCTAAATAATCATATCTTACTACTTACTTACATTTTTAGTTTTAAGAGTATATTTTCCCATACGTGTTCACCACCAAAATACACATATAAATCAAATTAGGACTAGAGTAAGGCAGTTATATACCAATTTAGTTCAAATAAAATACCAACAAATTCGATTAAAACAGTTAAAAGCTATATGTTATCTTTTTTTGCTACTAAAATTTAGAATAAACATGGCTAAAGCAAGCTGCAGAACGTACGTCTGCCCCGCGATGAACAGTTGGTTGCCTAACCTATCTTGACAACAGGCGTTTATAGTAAAATCTACGTTACGCGCGGTCTAGTTATAGCAAGTCTCTGGTACGTTCAGCCGACGCAACTGTTGACTAATAGTGTAAACGTGTTTCCTTGTACTTATTAGTAAACGTCCACATATACCTGAAGTCCTGAACGGTTCTGTTGACACCGCGTTTTACCATCTTGTATCTTAATGCTACGTTTCCATGCTTTCGCCTTTCGTTCAAGCGACATTCAACGGGCACGATCACGAGCACGAGCATGTAAATGGGTTGCTCGCCTCTGCCCGCCTCTGCTTGCCTGCTTTTGCTTGTGCTGGTCACCGATCCGGACTAGTGTCGGTTTTTCGACAAAGATCAAAGGGTGAATCTGTTTGCGCTCGTGTACCTATCTGTTTACATGCGTGGACGGGCTTGGTGCGATTTCTATAAATTTTTATCATCCACCACCTTCTCCGAGCTCGTCGTCTCTTTTCAATTCGTTGTTGTTGTTTTTTCCAATAAAAGCAGTACGTATGTCAAACCGAACGGAACAGCTGCAATAACATCTACGTCCGCTATGTTTGGTTGTGAGCTTGTTCTGAGTTGTGCTCAGATGCGTGTAAACAGCTTGCTTTGTACGCGGTGATTCGCCGAGCAGCTTACCGAGATGCTTGCCAAGCTGCTTGCCGCGTGTGGAAACGTAACCTTTCGTGCTGACAAGAAATGGATATTGTTGTGCAAGAATTATTTGAAGATAACACTGAACGTTCTAGGGAGACACAAAATGTTAGGTTATAATATTACGGTGAACACCACCAAATTAGGTGCCAATTATTACCAACTGTTGACTTCCACCAGAAGTTTCCATTCGTCGTTCAGGTAAGTCAACGTCTCAACATACTGAACAGTTGGGTGGGCTGAATGTACCCAATGACTACTATTTTTAAATTATGCATTTTAGATTTCATTAATAGTGTGCTCCTCTGTACCTTTTCTCATGATGCAACGGACAAAACATCACAAATGTTTATTGTGAAAGAAATAAAAATTTTTAAAACAAGAGAACGAAAAACAATGCGCTGCCTCATACACAAAAACTGCAATTAATTCAAATTGGCACAGCCGGAACAATTTGTGAATGATAAAGTTATGGTTAGCCTTTGTTAGTGGGCTCATTTCCAAAGTCCTGCGTTTTTAAAATTATCGCATGAAGAGAGCGCATGCGCACTCTCTTACATCGATGCGTATACCACGAGCAGCTGTTACGGTGCGTTCTTCTCATAACGAAAACAAGTTCTGAAAAAACTGATTTAAATTTGTAAAAACGTACAGACATTTGAAAAGTATCTAACAAATTAAAAAGGAATAATTAAATTGGGTTGTGCTGGAGAAATATATGTGGTTATGCACCAAATGTACATGGAATTCATTTATTTTGTATCAAGGTCATGCATTTGACCGTTTTCTGGTCGTGCCAAATAAATGGACATTACAATTGTTGTTGTGCAAATTTTAATCTTGCTACGAGAGTGTGATGTAATGTCATCTAAACAATTTTAATTTCTCATCATAATCGGTTAAAGGAGCACCATAAATTACGTAAAATTATACATTTCGAGTTTGCCGCTTTGCTTTACTTGAAATGAAAGTATAAATGATGTCTACAGACGCGATCGTGTATTCTTCGTAATATACAGATACAGTCAAGCCAAGCAAACAAGTTCGTCAAAAAGGCGATGGTTTGGTGTCCCTGTCTGTCAATAGTGTTTGGCGGTAAATTTAAACTTGTTGTTTTTTGCATTTTTTTTAATGTAGCTACGTTTGGAAACTGGAGAAAGAAATTTTTTGTGTCTCCCTGCTTCAAAGCTTTGTTTTCTGTAGCCAAATTAGTCCAGAAAGTTATGATTTGCTGGCCTAGGCCGGCAAAAATATCACTAAAAATTGATTGCTGGAACTGATTTAATTTGCAATGACATTTATAATTTTAAATTAAATTGATAGGCATATTTTTTGTGCAAATTCCATTTTAAGCACTTTATGGCTTGGTAACATAGTAATACGTATACAGTGAGTTTTTTCTTAATGCGAACATAGGAGTTTGCATGCAATGTAATTTCCCTATGTTCGATTTAAAAAAAAACACATCAATCTATGAGGTGTGCGCGATTCACATTCCCAAATCGCGCAACTTGTGTGACTATGAACAGCGACTCTATAGTCTTTATGATGAAGAGCACTCGGTAAGATTTTTTTTAAGAAGCCATGTGAGGCTATAGCAACATTAGGAAACATTTTTCTTATACTTACGATAACTTGACCTCACAGGCCACGCACTGACACCACAACTCATTGTGAACCAACCTTCAATTATTTGTAGGTCATGTGCACCTGGTATTCTACTAATTTGATCTATTCAATACATAAACGAAGAGAATAAGAAAATAAATAGCGAAAACAACTACAATAAATGTTCAAAGTGTCCTCTTTGACATTCTAAGCAATAACCACAGAATACGGCCTTCTCAGAATAGAAACAGCAATGTTACAAATTTGTATGGTATTTTGGCGGACCCTGGTGGGTGTACTGTGAACTAAAGCATCAAAATCAGAGCAGCGCCATCTGGTGACCAGCCATGAAGTAATTTCCCCAATTCGATCCAATTCATAAATATCGATAAAGAATACACAGTTTATTAAATTAAAGTGTATTTAGATACAATCACATTACATTATTTAACACATCAGAGAACTTAAATTACATATAAAACTCAGAAGTGAGTGGAACTTACGCTTTGTAGATGTTAACACTATGCAGAAAGATCCTTACATAACGATTTGTCGTACGAAATATTTGGTTTTAATTGCTGTTTGGACTACATATTTTTGTTAAAAAATATCTTTAGAACTAAATTTTTTGTTCCAAGAGGTAATAAAACCGTTTCATCAAATTGTCACACAAGTTTTTGACAACAAATGTTAACTTGATCCTGGTGCTTACTTGTTACTTGAGAAGCGAGGGTGGAAGTTGTTGAATTATCTAAAACGTATTTTTTATTCATTATCTAAAAGGAATTACAATATAAGTATCTACGTCTATATAAATATAAAACTTA